CGACTCCGATACCATCTTCTTCAGCTACGTCTCCTACTCTTGTAACTTTGACTTGTCTTTAACTCGAGCCCCAGGATGGCTCCAGAAGTCAGCCCACATCTCCATGTTAGTGTCTCTAGCTGTTGTCTTCATAATCCTGGCTCTGTCCTCAGCTCTGCTGCTGTTTGAAGCCAGGAAGACAGCAATGCGACAGAGGTCCTCACTGAGGTGGCAGGGGGTTGTAACAGTCATCATGACCACTGCTGTCTTCATCATATCCTGGTGTCCTAACCTCCTGGTGGGAACCACTAGTCTCACCCTCTCAGTTCACTACAATATCTCAACATGGAGAACCACTCAGTTTCTGCTGAACCTCAACATTATGGCTAACTTCTTTGTATACACTCTAACAGTACCGAGCTTCAGGGAGACCCTGAGGTCTAGATTTCAGACGGCAGCAGGGAAAGTAGGACAGTTGAGAACGCCGCCCGGTGAGGGGATCAGACACTTTGGTGGGGTTACAGCCAGGGTGGGCAACTTACCACATATTGTGTGGCAACAGCTTGAGAACTCAGATCAGTCTGAGCCGGGAAGGCCCGGATAATCAGTTAAAGAGGGCCAGATATGAACATATCGAAAGTTTTTAATAATTATTATTCGTTGTTTGCATATAATTATAAACGTACAGACTGAGTGATATTTGTAACAGGCCTGATGTGACTACATTTTGTAAACCTACGTCGCTAGTGATTCTAAAATTCTATTTAGATAAAGTCTCCAAAAATATATTCACGTATTGTATTTTAAGAATGTCGTTATAAATTTCACAAATCGACGTTGTCTCAGACAGGAGCCTCCCGGTTTTTAAAGTTACGGTAATCGAGTAATGGGAGTAACTGATATACTGATTATAAAAAGCGAGCGGTTAACTAACAGAAATCATGAAAAAATGAATGAAATTAAACGTGTATTAACAAGAGAAGAAAAGTGCAAAAGTGACCATCAACACAAGTGAAGAGTCAAACTAAATCTCACGAAACAAGAAAAGACGAAACAGAGCAAGAAATGACACACTGCAATATCATCACACAGTATTTACAACCACCCCAGCAGCTCATGAGGTCGCATCATACGACGATGATGTAATGTTCTAGAACACTAGTTCCACATCGAGTGTGTACCCCACTAAACGTAACAGTTAACTTAATGCTATTCAACTTTACAAGTGTACAGATAAACTAAAGCTGGACCTCACTTTTCGATTGTGGTACAGGAACTGTTCAGATAGAAAATGAACAACATGCCCAGTGGTATATATACCAAATACAATACAAAATACAAGGGGGGAATAAATGAGGAGATTTGGCTCTCGAGATGCCCCCTATATAGTGTCATTATTCCATGTGTGCGTATTGGTTTACATGTTATTAACCACCTGGATCATTTCTACATCCAGTACTCTATTTACCTCTCTACACATAGCTCTCGCTACTTGTAAACACTAGAGCTAGTTAACAGGACAGAGTAAGAGAGGGGGGATAGGGGGGGGGGGGGGGGGGGGGACTGGCCACTGGGGGAGCTATGAGAGTGAGATGAACAGTCGGAATAGCTCTGCTAATTTCATGAGAAGATAATCATTTTCATAACACTGTAGAGATCAGTATATATTCAACGAAAAGCCGCAAATATCCTATGTAACCTAGCTCACTAAAATGAGATGCCATAATGAACCGCAAGATTGAAGATACAATCTGGAAATTAAAAAGTATCTTAACAATAAATAAACGTTACGATTAACAGTATCGAGTTATACGAGAATGGAATCAACGCTGAGTAATAATATAAGGGGAGATTTACTATTTAGGAGAACAAATGAAGCAAACAAAAGCATTAAGTGTGGGAGAGTAAAGTGTGGGAGAGTAAAGTTAAGGAAGTGGAATATAGCTGGAGTGTTCTCCTCTGGATTAAATAAACAAATTTAATGAGGCCTAGCAGCTGACTTCTTACTATAGCGTGTGGTGTGTATTGTGTGACTTATTGGTGGAAAGTTGCACACCTTTTGTACAAATTAGGTGTTAAGTAAATATTAGTTGTGTAAATATTGAGATCTACAGCTCTAATGAGGATTAGGAAAATACTCACATTTTTCTGACAAGTGAAGACATCTCAGTGGTCAAAGGAAAGTGGACTAGTGATTAATTGTCAACTTCAAGCAAACAGTCGATGGTAAAATGGAATTGATCGTTGAAGCTGTGATAGTGATAAAGCAGGAACTCGTGGGAGACAGGAATGTCAAGTGATAAGATTATAGAAGTGATAGCGGTACATTTACATAGATGATAAAACAAATTCTTAAGTTAACATCATCTACATTATACATTCTACACCAATTTAGGAGATAACCGGAAAGTTGTGGGTTCTATTTATACGAACTACGGAACTGATACTTGATAGTAATATGATCAGAAAATCACAAGAACTGGCGTAGAACGTCTGCATTTTGAAACACGTGCGCGCGGCGTGGTGGTGTGACGTCACGCTGCACCCCTATTTTTAAGTGGCACTGTACCACATGCTGGGTAGTGGGTATGCTCTGATATCCTCTCAACCGAACTATCCCCGACCTATTCTTGTAACACAGTAAATATACCACTAACCTAAGTTCGAAAGCTTACCTGGTAACTAATGTATAACAACTTGAGAATAATAATTAGAGAAAGGAGGGATGATAAAAGAAAAGTTTGTTAAAGCAACTAGACTTTAGTTATTACTCCACCATGTATGTAATTATAATCTAACAATATACATATTATATAATAGGGGAATTTTTCAATATCGCCGTATCTCAGGGAAGCGGTACAAGTAGAAATGCAGATCCCATATAATTGTGATGCAGCAGCTCTGTAACGAATGTAGATCTCTTGTTAACAATCACCCGCACGGAAATTATAATGAAGCAATTATTGGTAAGGAGTAGACAATGATCTCTCCGAATCTGCAGCCCCAAATACAATAGAGGATGTTCTGCATTGTCCGTGAGGCTGATGATATAGTAGTAAAACATGCACTGTGCAGTAAAGCATGCCATATTGGGTGCATACTGCATACCAAATCGTCATGGCATGGACCTTCAAAATCTCTTCAAAATCTCTCAGAAGTAGAGGTGAAACCACCACAAGGACTATATAAGGCTTGAAAATGTACAAACAGAACAAATGCCACACCATTTCTGATCTTTACGTGCTGGCTTTTATATATCGGTGACAACTGCAGAGAACATTCGCATTTTTACAAGTATGTATTAAGAAATTACGAGCAAACGTTGTATACCTTGAAACATTGCAACAAAATTTTGAGATATTAAATCGCAATTATTAACAGAAGTAACGCGGACACTAATATTGACATGATCGTTCCTAACGATGTAAGATGCAACACCAGTAGTCGGATGTATCATATGATCATATTATGGCTCCAGCTATTAGCTAATATGTAGGCTGATGTTTCTACTTGGCGACGTTATGATTCTTGGATATACGTTAAGTGGCATCAAATTTCAGGGAGGATGATCTACCAGTAATATCAAAACCGGACGTGCCTCCCAATGCCACCTGATTTAAAATTTGCATGCTGATCATTACATTTTGTTTGGAAATGTATCAAAATAAATATGAATATGTCATTTTAAGGGTAATCTGGCTTTGATCATTGACGAAGACACCAAATCTAAGAGTACTGTAAACAAACTGCATGAACTAAACAGAAACGGAAATGAAACCATCAAATCTACAGTTTATCACGATAAACGCGGCAGTTAACAACAAGAAATGAGTCAAGGGTAAACAATATGATATTTAAATATACAAATGTTTTACAAGTCTTATGAGTTTCTAACAGGACTGAGGACGGCACAGCGTGATTGTACCCTGCTGTTACTGTCCAGCCGGGTAGAGATGCAGGTTGGACTAATCTCTCTCTCGACAACTACGCAGCCTCATTGGAGCGCAAACATTACAGGCCTGGTTCCTGGAGCAACAACCGTCTGCACGTTAACCATGGTAATAACTTTGCAGAGGTAAATGGTTAGCCTGATAATAACTTTGCAGGAGATAATGACGTAATGATCCCTCTAGTCGAATTGTGTTGAACAGCTCAGGATTGTAGTGACGTGCCCGTATAATAATCTGTAATCCAAGCAGAGCTGGGGGTTGGTCTTGTTAATGTTTTGTGCCCGTACTGTCGGGTCTAATTACGTCATTGAGAGATAATGTTATCGCTACAATTACGTGTGGCCGGTGGTTATTTCAATTTGGGCGTTAGGAAATGACTCATCAATCAGGAATAGAAAAAGTCAAAACTCGAAAGTATCGCTCAATTTCGGTTACATGCACCTGCAGGCTCTAAAGTGACACCTGCAGTTTTGATAATTAACAAAGACCTAAGTGCTTGGTGTGCTTCAAGTTCAAGAGTGAGATCAAATAACGTACACAAATCACGGCACAATGCGCTGAATTCATTTTCACTGACAAAAGAGCTAACCTGAGCAGTTGACAAGGGTAGAGAATAGAGCAAAACCTCGGGAAGTTAACAACATCCTCCCCACTAACTACATCTCCACATCCAATACAGATTGTGTAAGAACACTCCTCAGTCTGATCTTCACAAACAGTTTCCTTGTGTTTGGATTCGCTTATCATGATAACTTCATTGTCCTTTTAGTCGTGATATTGATGAATCAGTCGTATTTGAAGGTGGAAACTGACGAGGATCTTCAAATATCTATCGTACTGAACGGATCAAGAAGTTGAGCAAGAAGCGTACAAGTTGTCATATAATCGTTTACAGCCCCTCTAGTACTAAGACAGTTGAAACGAGAAGATGAGAGCGATAAAAAGAGACTCGTTAATTGTAATGTAGTACTGTGGCTGTAACAACAGCAACACCTGGACTAAGTTTACACATCCCCCACACCCTGCGTGGGTACATTATATGATAAGTCTGCTAATAATGAGAAACTTGCTGGCCTCCCCTCCCCAATGTTTGGTATTTTAGTAGTTTCTCTCGATATGACGTAAGATTTGAGCTTGTTGTTCTGTCTCCGATAAGTTGGAACTCTGCCAGGAGTTAGCGATCAAAAGCTTTTGTGTTGTTCTGATAACAGATGTTATGGAGTGTTACAGCTCATTTGGCTGACTATCGACATCATGAAACATGACAGTTTCTTTGCTATGTCTTTATAAGGATCGTTTGCATATCAAAGTTGGCCTAAGTACGGACGCTGATAAAATTTTTGTAATGGCCAGGATTAAGCTCGCTGAGGGAAGCAAATTTTCAAAATCTTGCAGACGTCATATGTGAACAGTATCTAGTTATTTCTACGGTTGGAAAACAAGTTTTTACCCATCAAAAACTCCTGCATGCATACACTAAACATTTCCATCTGCATAGTGATTCCGCGTAGGAATGGCCGAGTCTAGCAGTACCTTACACGTGTTAACAGGAAACAAAGATGCAAATGCGGTCCAGTTGATGGCCAAGATATCCAGCTTGAGTTTGAATGTGGTAAAGTAGGTCACAGGTCACTTTAGCTTTAAATCGATCATGTTACTGAGATGACCTTATGTTATTGTAACACAGTTACTTTGAACAATAAATTGTACAGGAATATTCTTAAATTCAGTGCGACGGAATCATATTTGTTTTGAAGTTGTACGGGATTATTCAATCGTAATATTCGTTGGTATTCTGTATTATTTCCTTAAAGCGATTAATGATTTAATCAATCAGTCACCACCTACGTCCCACAGTCACGACAAAGAAGACGAAATGAAAAGTTCCGTACCATTTGGAGAGTTGCCAGCTCTGGAGGTGGATTTACAGCTGTATTCAGGGGTGGAGCCTATCCTTCGTTATGTGGCTCAGCTAGCTGGCTTCTGTCCTACTGACCCCATTGAGGTTGAGCTTGAGCTGTCTTTTTGTTAAACGTTTACTTTCTTCGCCTTCCTCATAGTCATACTTATCGTTTTGTTTTATCCACGAGAGTTACCTTGACAAATATTTGTCCAGGTATTAGAAGCAGACATGCTGTTAAAAGCAGTGGAGGATTTCAGAAGGTGTCCTAAACCGATGATCCCGAATCCAACAGACGAAGAGCCTGGCCAGGAGATGAGAGGTCTGATGAGAGGAGTTAGGGGGCTGGGGAGACCTCCCCGACGTGGAGGCAGGGGGATGAGGAGGGGGAGGGGCATGAGGCACCTTGTTGATGACGAGGTAGGGTATTATCATTCCTGGTCCGCTATCATTGCTTGTCAGTTCTTAGTGTTTGAAAGATCTATATAATTGGTTATCTGTTTATCAGTCAGGAGGGTTTGGACCAGTACGGAGACAAAGACGACGGCACGGACTGGATCCAATGAGCGGTGAAAGAAAGAACCCATTCGACTTGAAGGAAGAGGAGAACACACCTGGTAATCTGATTCTTGGTAACCATCTGCTGGAAAACCATCGCCAGCTCAGAAAGATTAAAAAAGCAAAGGATTACTTGATTGGATTTAGTCGACATCTAGAGAACAGTCTAGATGGAGCAGAGTTCCTGGTGGGAAGCAATGTATGTGAAGTAATCTAGATTCACGTACTCTAGTTCGACAGTCGACACGCACTATAGTTCGACAACTTAAGTTCGCCAGATATATACCCCTGTCGAAATTCGGTACGTGTCGAACTAGAGTCCAGGTAGCGTACTCTAGTTCGACAAATAGTTTCGGCTTGTGATCCAACGGCTATTGCCAGGTCCTCATCATAGAATTATAAATTACAGGGTTCAATGACAGATAAAACAATTTTCTGACATCTAGCAACTAGATTTACCAGCGGTTAGAAATTCCAGAACCTTTCAGTGGTTTTAATTCTCCTGTTTGCCACTCGGTTCTGGTATAGGTAACAGGAAAATGGATTGATATCCGACTGTTTCCGGTTCAGCAGCCAAATCTCTAGATCGGTACTCGGTTACTAGTCGTTTGTGATAATATAAAGTGTGGTATGTGATATTTATATTAATATAGCGTACTCTACAAGCTAGATCTATAAAACGGAGTACGAGTTACCACGTTTGTCTTTTATCTCTCCGCTAAGTCTACAATTCTGCTAACTAACAATTGAGTATGGAGTCAATTAAATGTTCATAGATATGGATTATAGATCGAGATAACATTCACACACAATTGAACAGCATGGGACAAGTGGAAAACAAACGAATAAATTTCAAGCTCGTAAAGGATCGTTGGTTGAGATCGGAGATTTCAAAACTCTAGTTTGACAGTCTAAGTTCTCTTGTCGAACTTTAGTACGCGTCGAACACTAGAAGTTGAGTTCAGGTAGCGCACTTTATTTCGACAGAGTCGAACCTAGGTTTTGTCGAACTACAGTACGTGTAGAACTAGAGTGCGTGTCGAACTTGAGTACGTGTACCTTGTATCACGTGGTGACCCCCACGGCGGGTCATACAACGTATGACAACGTGTACCCTAGTTCTAGATATATAGTGACGATGATTTAAAACTAACAGTAACAATTACAAAAGTACTCCCATAATGATAATTCAAATTTCAGCTGAGCTATGCGGATTTTTCTTTGTTTGCGGAGCTGAGGACTCACTTAACGGCCCAGCCAGAGTTCCTGAAACATTTCCCAACTTTGCAGAACTGGCACAACAGCCTGGCAAACGCTCAACCTTTCAGCAACTTTATGAACTGAAATCTGAGCTAGTGAAATGAAAATGATCATACCTTCCGCATTCGATGTTGGTGTTGTTGTGAAAATGTTGTTTTAAAACTAAAAGTGAACAAGATACCATAAAGCTAGGAGTAGGTGTGTTAACTCACCTCAAAGTTGAAATACATTCATGAGATTCAGGGATATCTTCCAGTGTGGCTGTGTGGATGGGTCTTGGAGCCTGTTGATATGCTCTTTGTTGCAGCGGCTGCCACGGCCACGCCATTAAAATCTTATCGATTTAACCAACATCACAAGCCATCAAGTTATTGTCATGCTAAATTGAAGCACCTTGAAAAATTAGAGAAACAGAAGGCCAAATCATTGAAAACATTTACCGACAAAGACAAGTATATCATTTGTCTTTTATAACGCAGTTTTCCAAAGAACTGTGTAATATTAGCCTAGCTATTTAAACTTTTTAAGGTCGACTGTAAAACGGGTATATCAACTTCATGTGACTTTTAATGTATTGCATCTTAAATTCTGAAACAATCTGACTTTAATGTTATTGGAGCACTCGTCCCATAAAAAACTTCACAACAATGAAAGTATTATCAAGAAATGCGATTACCTGGGGACCCCAGGCTATAATGTTCATAAAGTTAAACATAAACATAAACCGAATAGAGATTCAGCGGAATGATACATGATAGGCTGAGCGCCTCCCAGTATAAAGAAATGCGATTGCTGTTGATGGGATTAATCCTCAGGATCTAGGAGGGTGTACGTGTTCTATGCAGAAGACTATCGTTTTTGCATTTCAGAAATTTGTCAAACTAATGTTTGTCCATTAGCTGATGTTCTGGGGGGGGGGGGGGGGGGGGGGGGGAGGGGGGTTTCCAAATGATTACGCTGGTGTAATTTTGATACAATGGCTATGTGTAAAACTGCTAGGTTGAGATAATACTACAGAAATGGATCTTTCACAGCAGCAAATACTGAACTGAGGGCCAAGGCTCTCCGTGCTCTCTATGGCCTCAAAGGCAATATCGTCAAAGATGCCCTCTCTCACCGTTCTCTAAACTTTCTATTTGACTCTCTAATAAAACCGATACTGCTCTATGGCTGCCAAATCTTATGTCCTCACTGAAAAACCATGAGATACCTCTCCAAAGCAGATAGCAAAGCCAACCCCCAGCATACTCTCAGGTACATCTCACAAGACCACTATGAAAGATTCCACCTTAAGTTTATCAAGTGGTCCTTGTCTGTCCATTCAAAAGCATCAAATATAGGCTGCTGGGGCGAAAGTGGGCGCCACCCCCTCTTCTTTGAAGCCTGCAAACTTGCAATAGATTTCTATACTCGCCTTGAAAGCACTGAAAATGAACTTCTCTCCGCTGCATTTCACGAGCAGATTATGCTGGGCCTTCCTTGGTACACCAACATCTCTAATCTTCTCACCAAATATAACTTCCCCCACTCATCCTCTTCAAAATCCAAGCTCTCTACCCAAATCAGTCACAACATGAGGGAAGAATTTGTGGATACCTGGAAATCTGCCAAGGCATCCTCACCTAAATTAGAATTCTACAATCAAATTAAACATGATTTTGAACCAGAAACATACTTAGGAGTGGTTAAGATCCCCGATGCTCGGAAAAGCTTAACAAGGTTTCGTATTAGCTGCCACAATTTTTACATTGAGAGGGGCCGTTACGAAACCCCCCTGGTACCAAGAGAACATCGATGGTGCACTTTTTGCTTTTTCAGCAAGGGGCTTAAGCCTATTGAGGACGAAATTCATGTTCTAACTGACTGTTTACTCTACTCCTCAGTTAGAGAAAAATTTAACTTCCATCCCAAAAATATTACTGACCTAGCCGGTTTGCTATCCGATAAAACACTAGACCCTACAAAATTTACTGCCACAGCAAGAGCAATCCATTCAATTCTCTCTGTGAACGAAAATTTTACAGCCTACTATAAGAGCCCAGATTTCCACTCAAATACTGGCCAATGCATAATGCTATAGGACCTCAAAAATAGTATTATATTAAACATTTCTATTTTATCCCTACACATCTGTAAATAACTAGAATTGTGTAACCTTAAATTATTTCAGAATTATAACTATTGTGAATTCAATAAAATAATTATCACTTTTGTATCCTTGTATCCTTGTATCCTTGTATCCTAGCGGTGGCATGCCGGGTGTTTTAAAAACCAATCCATAATCAGTAAGCAGTTAGCGGGAAGCAGCCAATTAATCAATAGGTAGATCTAAGATCCAAATAATGTGAATATAAGCGAATATGAGGAGAACAATTAAAGCTGTATTATATCATCAGAGGAAAGCGGTGGTAAGTAAATAAGGTAAATAAATAAGTTTAACCTAGTGGCATTAAGGATTAAGGCAGCACTCGTCTCATATAAAATTAACAACATCTAAACATCATTGAGGAGAACTAACTAGCGCTAACAAAGTTTTGATCAATGCAAGACTACTCTTCTCAAAGTTGGTATACAAAGAATGTCACATACATAGGAATGTCGTCCATAAAAGTATGGTGTAAGACTGCTGTCCCTCAATTCCTCAAGTCTCTTTTGATCTGCAATAATTTAACAATAACAATGAGCAAGCAGAAAACAATAGCGGCCGCCAATAAATCTACAGGTTGATAATGTTCACTCATGGTCTGCACTGAGTATCGATTGAACTTCTCAAACAAAAGGGTACAACAAAGAAAACAACAATTTCAAGAAAAACAAAGCGATAACATCATACAACTTTCCCAGTCAGTACTGTTGAGTTCCATAAACAAAGGCGCTGAAATCTATATAAGAACCTACCCTACATAAGAACTATGCTCTATTTCTAAGCCAATCAACAGAAATCCATGGATCACCGTCGATTAACCGTCACTGATTTAGGTGACGAAACCTGATCTCAGTGGGATTCTAGATGGATTCTTAACGGTGGTCGGTCACCGGTTGATTAAGCGGCAAAATTTGTTGCAAAACTTCTGTTTTGTTAAGTACGTATATCATATTCATAATGTGGTGATCTTTAAAAAGTAAAACTGGCGAATTCATAACGAAATTTTGTAAACTATTACAGTTGAATGTTTCAATAATTATCTAAACGTACAAACCGAACTCCTCGGTAACGATCGCACACTGCACACCATCTTGTAATGTTTACATGTACTATTATAGTAAAATAAGTAATACTTATTAAGTATCGATAAAAGAGAGTATTAAAAGAAAAGAATAGCCAAAAAGGATTTACAAAACTATCTTTTGAAATCAATTCGTAAAAGAATACATAATTTTTGATGGATTATATAAATAATTAAGATAACATCGACAAGTTTTCAATAAACCATAATTAATCAGATCTATGAAACCGTATTTAATTGTTTTCGTATCACTTTGAAAGGTTCATCAGATTGAGAAACTTCATAATCATAAGTCTTTGTAAGAGAGAGCTCCTTTAAGGGGTCGTTCACATATTACGTAATCAGCCGAGGGGGGAGGCACAGTGGGGTACCATTATGACTTTTGCTAAAAAGTTGACTTTCTCAAATACTTCATTTTAGGCTTTGTTTTAATTGAGAATCGTTTGCACAATCCAAAACTTTTTCAATTATGCAAATATTCCATTCCTATGAAACGTTATGGCTTTTGAAGTGACGCGCTTGCCAAATTTTGGTAAATCTGGTCTTTGCTTTGTTGTGAGGGTAGTGATTCAAGTGGCAGGCTGAAACTGCTCATACACATAACTTACATGAAATGTCATCCTGAATATGCTTGTTAGTGATTCTACTATACTTGGAGCATATAATCTTTATAAAAGGACGGCTGTATCTCCTTTTTCTGATTTTTAGTACCCAATAACAAGGTCTGGGCTTAAAAATTCACCTCCAAATTGTGTTTTTGATTTTTTTTGGCACCAAAGGGCTCAACCAAAAATCGGAAAGAATCGGAAAACTAGCTGTTATGTTATTTCGATAGCCTAATATGTTTTAAAGAACATATTTTTTTTTTATATTGAAATCTTTCAATCATTATCATCAGAATTTATTACAATATCAATGTTGTATAGAATTTCTAAAAATGGACTAGAGAAACCAAAAAATGCCTTGACAAGTGTACAGCGATGATAACAATCAGGGGACACCAATACACCCAAATAACCAAACAAAAGGCCTCGAGAGACCTGATGAAAAGTCGAGCAATTACATTGGGCCCCAAGTGCAGAAGGAGAAAAATGGGCAAATAATATGAGCTGTGAACTTAGGAGGCATTTCTAGGTTTTTAAGAATAATTGCCACAACCCAAAAATTCTCAATTACAATTGGCTGATTTGTAATATTTCCGATGGAATGAAGTTTTAACGATAAAATTTAAATAATTGAATATAAAAGACTAAATCAAAATTGTATCCGAATAAAGCAAAAATGCGTGATGAGTACCTCAAAAAAAATTAAAACAAAAATAATAGAGAAATACACTACCCGTAGTCTGGAGAAAAAGAATTGTCAGGATCTGAACTAGGGTCAATATCTACAGATGCAGTACAAACATGTTCCTTCCAGATGTGTTTAATAAGTTCTGTTTTAAACACACCTGGTCTGATAATCTCTCGAAGGGAAAGAGGAAGTCGGTTCCAAGTGAGATGAGCTCGATAAAAGTAAGATTTAGATATAGCTGAGCCAGGTGGAATTGAAGATATTACTGATAAGTGATCAAGATGTGAGCTTCTCAGTCGGCTTGACCCGGAGAAGAAAGTAAGGTACTGAGGCAGAGTGGTGCATGGGTGGTATTGATGCACTAGGGAATGAAAGAACTTGAGATCATGGTAATCAAACCTGTACTTTAGGGGCAGAATATTTAACTGTTTACAATGGGCATTATAGATTTCCTCTACACTATAGCTTACACCGTAATCATTACGAATCCATTTGAGGGCCCTTTTCTGCAATCCTTCAAGCCTATTGATAGTGCTACTGGACGCTGGTCGCCAAATGATGGGACAGTGTTCGAATATTGAGCGTACAAGAGTAAGATACAAGACTCTTCTCTTGTTCAGATCATTAATAAAATGACAATTTCTCTTAAGCATGCCAAATTTTTGGTTAGCTTTACCATATTTTTATAAAAAAAATTACCGTTGCCTACCGTTGCATTTTTGAGAAAATTTTTCTTAGCCTTGAAAAGCTCAATGATAGACTAAAAACTGATTTTTTTCATTTATTTCACAGCATTTTCGGGCACACTTTGATATTTTATGTCAATACCAGCAAAGTTCAATATGAATAAGCAATATTTGGATGGAAAAATAGTGCATATGAGCCAAAAATAGCCAGGGGCAACTCTGATTTCATAGGATTTTTCTTATATTTTTGTCATATTGCATATTGCATAGATTTATGGTTATCCTTGCTAAAATACCCTTAAACAATCACATCAGCATGATTGATGACCATTGCCATACGACTACTACTACTACTATGTTGGAGCTAAGCTACGCCAGAAAACCCCCTTCATATATCCCTGTCCCGCATCAGGGTTCGCAGTTCCTCTTTAGAGTTTGTCCCAATGCACTTTTTCTAATGAGGAACTGTATAGTGATATACAGAAAGAAAATCTGTAGTAGATCGAAAATTTACTTCCATACGAAAAAGCAGAAAATGGGACAGAAACCGTTAAAAAATCGATGAAATCTTAAAATTGCTAGTCAAAAAAGATGTTTTTTGTGCGACAGAAAGTGCCAAATTTTCAAAAAAATTATTTTTTGCCCAAAAAAGTAGTGACAGTTTGGAAACCCTCCGGAGGGTTTCCAAATTTTACGCTAGTGTAATTTTGACATAATAGTTATGTGTAAAACTGATTACGGAGGGGGGAGGGGGTTAAAAATTTACAAAAAGTGATTACGTAATATGTGAACGACCCCTTATGAGGAGCATACATTACTTTTAAAATATTTATGATAAATGTTACGAAAAATCAGTTTTATTGACACTTCGAGACGTAACTTGATTTTAAGATTTTGTAATTTTCGTAACATTCATATTAGAGTCCTTTGCGGCAATTACAAAACTAAAATTTAATTAAGAAAAGAGAATAAATTAAGAGTTACTATTAATAAATACTAAAGGATAAGAAAAAAGGGTAATCTATGCACGAGAGATACATACTATTAAGCTTTACTATTAATAAATACTAAAGGTTAAGACAAACAGAAGGGTTATCTAAGTAAGAGTCAGCCAGAATCTTCATAATTGAATACACCTGGCAAGTTTGGATCCCTTTCCTGTCTGTCGATAATGTAAAGTGTAAACAACCAGAAAAATGTAGAGTAGAAAACCAACAATTCTTATGATAAAAAATAGTACTCTTCAGCTGCTCACATGATTACCCCCAAAGCTAAATAAAAACCAAATCATTCCTCCATCTTCCATCGGATACACATTATAATACAGCAATATATAACAATTGATGAGCTATTAACGATAAAAAATAATTGTTTCGCTTTCCGTTTAATATTTATATACATTTTCAACTGAAAATACGTGCAAAAAACCTAAAATCTAGCCAAAAATAATCATTGTGGAGACTCTATGGCCAATATTCCCAAGCTCACTTGACATTCCCTATTTAAAATATTGTGTGAAGTGCTAAGCATCTTCGATGTTTTCTATAAAAATAAAATTCGTGAATTGATGGTGCGGGAGTTGCTACATCAGCCAAATAAGGAATGATTTTAGGAGCTTCGACATTACTGCGAGTACATTACATTATGTACTCAGGAAACAAAGCAGTTCTGCACCTTTGGTGACGAGAATTTGAAGCTAGGGACCCAGTATGTTTTCTTACTACTGCATTGTTCAACTCAAAATTACCATTATCTGTTAGCAACTTTGTTGGAATGAATAAAACCGAGGATCTCGCTAAACATTGCATAATGTCCTGATTTCAAGAACATGATAATTGAAGTGGCATCACTACGTCAGCAGCAGCAGTGATCAAAATTTCAACATTCCTTATTTGGGTGTGGCTTGTTAACGTTACAAATACAGTTCCTATATCCTAGTTTGATGCGGGGGGACTAATCGTGGTCCAGGTGATTTCCCAGATCGTCAAGGTGGTCCTCGTCATGATGTCCCACTCCGTGCGCGTGAGTGTGGGTGTGAAGCAGAGAAGCCAGCCCAATGATAAAGATCCCAAAGCAGATACAAGGGATCTTATACTTCATGTCTTGCTTGTTTTTTAGCTCCGGGAAAAGGATTTCTGCAAAGGTGATGTAGAGGAAAATACCGGTTCCTAGTGCCTGAAAAAGGGCAAAGATTAACAAAAAGAACAAACAAAGAGGGGTTTATGGGTGGCATCTAAATAGCCGATAAGCGGGTGGGTTGCGAGGACATAATCAATTTGTTATGAAATAATGTGGAGCTAACAAGATTAGTTTAGTCGCAATTTTCTGTATATTCAATCCAGGATTTAACTAGATTCCGGCGAAATATATTTCAGTTAATCATTCTATTAGAACTTTAGAATAAATCAAATTAACCTGCACTGTGCAGGTTGCAGAAATGATTCTACAATCTATGCCACTCACTTTATTTATATTGCTTATGATGACTATTGCCTTTGGTGCAAAAAAGATTCCGAAAATTTTCTCGTAGAATAATAGACTTACCTGAATGACAGCAGTCGTAATAAGGAGAGTGGATCCAGTCAACTTAGCTTCAACAGCTACACCCAGTACAATACCAATAGGGGTCCCGACAGACAAGATAACCGCATACACGCACCCTTTCTTGAACTGTATTTCTTGGGTTACCAATCTCGACCTAGAAACATTTAGCGTTAACAATTTCTATTGATATCTAGAGAAGTCACCTTTCGCGATGCCGCATCAGCCTGATAGACGACCGACTCAGGTGATTTCGCAGGATGAATCGACTGCCTCGTGAGTAAGCTATTGATAACAACTTAATTCACAATTGGTTATTATGTCTGCAATGATAACACTGCATGCTGAATTCTGTTGATAAAATACGATAAACGGCCACATGACAACGTAACGCGCCGCGCGGATGTCAATTTGATTCACACGCGCGTCTTTTTGCGCATATTTATGAGTAAAAATGGATACGCGCGTTCCAAACTAAATAAAATGTAGACCCTCTTTTGTTCTTTGAACTTTTCGCCTGTCAACGATGAATGCAAACAGACAGGACTCTCACCTTGACCGCGCCCAAAATCGAATTTAGAATTCAAATGAATGTGAACCGGACACTCACGCTTTGAGGTACACGTATTCGGTCAACAAACCGCAAATACCTGTCTTAAACCTCATATCCCGCACTGTAACAAGGAACAAAGCCATAGCAAGGTCAGTAGTCAACAAGAGCGAATCCCCAAATGTAAGTAACCGCTAATCAAATAATTATGGGGATGAAACTAGACGCACGTCGAAGTGCAACCAGCGTCTTGCCCTGCTGAGATCACGTCATCCATCTTTCAACAACAATTACACATCAAAGTTGTATGACGAGATGAGCAGACCCTTACAGTGTTATCTTACTCTACACCCCCACACACAACCAAACAGCTGCACATTTAACACGTCAAGTGTAAGGGTTTGTGTCAGGTTATAGAGTTACATGCAGGGAGACGGCTATAATCCTACCTATCGTTAGTATGACATAGCTACACGCGTGTTAGTATCAACACTTTAATGGTATATAATATAGCTCACCCCAGGGTCAGAGCTATAGCACATTTGTGAATTAGAACAGCGCCCATCAGACCCATTATAGTCTCTGCTTGTCTCTCCACACCTACTGCACCCCCTGCAATGTTAATAGATTGTACAGATTGTGGGGGACACTAGATAACACTGAAGTAAAGTTAAATTAATAATAAAGCTGTCAAATTAATAATAAAGCTGCAGGGATTTAATTATGTCTTAATTATGTCTTAAACTAACCCTCGAAGACGGAGTGAGTAAAGAGTGAAGCGAGTAGTATGCCAATGTTATGTCTCTTTTCTACGACACATCTTTTAGGAGTGTTGGAAGGCATCAGAAGAGAGTTCTTGTCAGCTTGTAGGATCACGTCCGTTGTTTCCTGTCATAGATATTCATATTATAATTAAAATATCATAGATATATTCTATAAATATAATATTCATAATCTAATTTCATAAAAACACGATGGTAGAAAAGAAATACTAAAAAACGCCATCTATTTTTAGATTGAGGTAAAAAGCAGCCGTTGATCATGCTACCGTTCCTTTCGTCAAAAATGCAAAAGATCTTATTTCACCATAATATCAAGATTAAACATAAACTCATTAACTCATTCATTAACAATGAACATTAAGTAATTAGAACAGATTATGGCCCTCTGCACCATCAATTCAATGCATACCATGCATTACCCTCTTTCAAAATCTCCCGTTTCTGGTCAAAGCACCATTCTTTACCTGGAGGAAGCCTCCTCTATGTTCTTGTACACGAGTTTTATGTATATATATAAATATAATATCTTATGTCACTGAAGATGACGCCTTGCAACATGTTTGACGATAGCCTGTAAATTTATAGTTTGATCTCAGTATTATATTAACAAATCATCTAGCTTGATTGATTCAAAGGGAGAAAATAAATTCTTCTGGAATAGTTTTAACCGTATCATGCATTACATAAGTTAAACCATGCCGTTACTACGCATTCCGATGTTTTGTATACCAATTTACTTTTTGCAAGTTCGTACGACATGTACACGAATCTGGGATCACCAATTTGGGAAGGAAAGGACTTTCAACTTGCGTATTCTCAATCTGTGTCATGTCTATGACTTCAGTTGTTGCTGTGGCGACATCACCCTTATTGTTTATAAACTCATAAACATCACCCTTATTGTTTATACCTTATTGTTTATGAGCCACTAGAATAATCCAAACCGAAAAATATCACTTAAATCCACTAGGCAATCAATGCCATGAAAATATATATTAAATAGAAATTTAATTAATGCTGTTAATCAAGTGCCTTGTTGGTTAGATTGTAAAGATAAGGGAAAGATAACCACCACTGAACTATATAATTAAAATGTTTTATAAAATAAATATCAATTATCAAGTAAAGGTATGCCTGCCAGATTTCGGCATATATAAAAAAAAACAAAACTATTATATGGTATGAAGTGAGATGTGAACGTACGACGGGAGGTAGGTTGTTGCACTGGTCAGGGCTGATATTCTCCAACATGTGCAGGTCGTTGTGTTTCTTCTCGCACTTCTCACAGTCCTCTGCGAACACGCCCTTCTTCAACTTCCGTACTGATAGCTGGTCAAAGAGCGTCTCTAGAAACAGGATCAGACAGAATCCTAACACCTGGAGTATTAGGGTTACAGGGAGTGAGACAGAATCCTAACACCTGGAGTATTAGGGTTACAGGGAGTGAGACAGAATCCTAACACCTGGAGTATTAGGGTTACAGGGAGTGAGACAGAATCCTAACACCTGGAGTATTAGGGTTACAGGGAGTGAGACAGAATCCTAACACCTGGAGTATTAGGGTTACAGGGAGTGAGACAGAATCCTAACACCTGGAGTATTAGGGTTACAGGGAGCGAGACAGAATCCTAACACCTGGAGTATTAGGGTTACAGGGAGCGAGACAGAATCCTAACACCTGGAGTATTAGGGTTACAGGGAGCGAGACAGAATCCTAACACCTGGAGTATTAGGGTTACAGGGAGTGAGACAGAATCCTAACACCTGGAGTATTAGGGTTACAGGGAGTGAGACAGAATCCTAACACCTGGAGTATTAGGGTTACAGGGAGTGAGACAGAATCCTAACACCTGGAGTATTAGGGTTACAGGGAGTGAGACAGAATCCTAAGACCTGGAGTATTAGGGTTACAGGGAGTGAGACAGAATCCTAACACCTGGAGTATTAGGGTTATAGGGAGTGAGACAGAATCCTAACACCTGGAGTATTAGGGTTATAGGGAGTGAGACAGAATCCTAACACCTGGAGTATTAGGGTTACAGGGAGTGAGACAGAATCCTAACACCTGGAGTATTAGAGATACAGGGAGTGAGACAGAATCCTAACACCTGGAGTATTAGGGTTACAGGGAGTGAGACAGAATCCTAACACCTGGAGTATTAGGGTTACAGGGAGCGAGACAGAATCCTAACACCTGGAGTATTAGGGTTACAGAATCCTAACACCTGGAGTATTAGGGTTACAGGGAGACAGAATCCTAACACCTGGAGTATTAGAGATACAGGGAGTGAGACAGAATCCTAACACCTGGAGTATTAGGGTTACAGGGAGTGAGACAGAATCCTAACACCTGGAGTATTAGGGTTACAGGGAGTGATACAGAATCCTAACACCTGGAGTATTAGGGTTACAGGGAGTGAAATAGAGAATAATTATTATCAAGAAGTAATGTTAAACACTTAGTTTATGATTATATACTCGCCACTGCGTCATGACAGAATTTTCTGTAAGAGTTGAAAGCACTATTAAAAAAGGGCCATCTCATCATAAATTAGACTTTTTGAAGATAAAGAAGTTATTTTTTACCTCTAGGGTTTCAGCAAGAGGAACAGGCATTTCTTGACCAGTCTGCAGCAGATACTGATTCATCTGTTGAGACACCTGAGCACAGAACCATAGAGTGAAAAATTCTAATGTTACAGTTTAACATTGGAGCTATTGAAAAAGGTTAATAGAGGGCTCTTTGTTAGTATGGTCGGCAAAAAGGACAAAGAAGAAATGCAATTATCAGACAATGATTAGTCAATGTTCAGGAAGTAATATTCCAGAACCACGGGAACAATGATTGCCTTAATTGATATATTATTGTGGTAACAATAATATGTCAATTAATAGATGTGTCAATTATAGATGTTTTTATAATCTGGGAGCGTTTGAAGGGTCATTGTTCATCTAAGAAATCTGTAACGCCATACATCTTAGCTAAACGTCTTATTAAATAAATCTAAGCATCTTAAATCCATTCAAACAAAAATTAAGGACTAGTATTTGTCTATATGAGACAAGAGAAACACATCATAATGTATAACTTAGAAATCTTGTCTTGACGAACAGAAAATGATTGTCTAGACAGTAGACACTGTTGTCTATACATGCTCTAGAAATATATATTTATTTAATGATATTTCAGAAATAGCATTAGTATGCTGAATGTTGGATCTTGGAACGGAAGGGAACTGACCTCAGGAATAAGATGAAGGAAGATGGTCCCAAACAGAACACCACCACCGAAACAGTTAGCAAATGATATGAGCCTCTGTCTGTGTTCGCAGGAGTACGTTTTATAGGGTAGCACACAGAAAACTGTTGTCAGAACTGAGAGGAGACCTATATTAAGGTTTTGTATATGTGGATTGTGGTGGGGAGGTGATGCTTATATTTTCTTAACACGTGACAGCATTTTTGGAGTTTGATTGTTCAATACTGGAAGCTGTTTGGTTAATTGTGTTAGGAATATGTTTCACATCCCAACAAGGATCCACATCTCTGAATACTACCCACATCATGAAGTATAATGCAATACGAGTTAGTGATGTCTGAGTTGGGACCTAGGACCTGTTCGGTCCACAAAATCTCAAAATCTTACCGGTCGCGGTATGGAAGTTGGTTTTCATTTTGTACTTTTTTGTTTTTTTAAGAAATGGGTCCCCTTCAGGACCAGTACAATGAGCACCAACTCTTATCTGTACCATTGTGCAATACACCATTGTGCAATACACCATTGTGCAATACACCATTGTGCAATACACCATTGTGCAATACACCATTGTGCAATACACCATTGTGCAATACACCCTTGTGCAATACACCATTGTGCAATACACTATTGTGCAATACAACAGTGCACTTACCATTGTACTGGTCTTAAGTGTAATTTAAGGGACGGTGTCAAACCTTCCTTACAATATATATCCATCCAGGTGCCTAAAAGGGCCGATATTCATAAAGTGCTTTAAGTTCTGTAAAAAGTCCAGCAACAATTGTGCTAATGTTGATCAATTTTGTGCTAGTATTACTTGCACTCTAAATTTATTTAAAGACTGACAGTAGAGGCGATCATCCTTGACAAAAATTGAAGAATATTGCGAGATAAGTCTCTAACGTATACCCCGAATTTGTACAAATGGCAAGTGTGTGATACTTATCCCAGCGTGCCGTCAGCTGTTCATGCTTCTTAATTTTCAAATTCATCGCAAAATGTACTGGATATGTGATAAACGCCCATTTATAAACGATATAAATTATCCAGATTTTGAGGACAATTCTCTTAAATCTCTCATGGTCTCAGTGGTAAATGAAGAGTTTACAGTAATTTAACGACGAAAGTCTTTCATAAATCCTGTAAAATTTTCTAAACCATGTTAAAACCATGCTAATCAACCTACTGACATACCCATCATGACGAGAATTCCAATAGACTTCATGGTGATGATGTAGTTAGGATTAATGAGCATCTCCTCTCCTCCTTCTCCCAACTCCAGTCCCTCGTCATGGTGGTCGTGCATATCTGTCATGCTAGAAGAGGACGTGTGTGTGTGTAGGTAGGGGTGTAATTAAGTCAGGAGGTGTAGTCTTCTTTATCTTTCTCTTGATATCTCAAACTCTCAGTTTGTTGTCCAGGGGTTTGGTAGTGTTCAATCAGTTGGTTGAGGGTTTACAGGTCTCCCTTCAACAGTCGTGTTTCATAGAACCTACAGTAAGACAGGTTGGTTATTAGAGGGAAACATACAGCAACATTGCGCAAACACTGTTCTCAGTAGGTTAAGTTAACATTATAGGTTTAATTAGCATGTCACGGTGAAGCTTGAAAAGTGAAAGTTTGTTACATGTTGTTAACCGCTACATACAATAAGATATCAGTTACATAATGCAGTCTACCAATAACATATAACCGGTCATAGCACAGAACATACTAGATCAAACATGTTATACGGATGTGATTCCGGGGTAACATCAGAGGTTATATTGTCTCGTTGCATCAGACACGTGCATTTTTATAAGTTGACTCATACGCGAGGGAGGGATTGATTGTGATTGGAAGATGCTTTCAACTGAAACTCATACGTAGAGAATATTTATATTTTATGGTTGCGACATACCATTAAAATTGTGCATATCACTCAATAAAATCATTCCGCATAAAAACAAAACTTCCGAATAAGGCAAATTTGATTGATTTTTATTTATAAACCAGAAATCTAATAACTTAAAATGCGTTGCATTTTGCAATCCAATCAGTCCGAATTAAGATATATATTGAGCAATAGTTCTCATACAAAATGTGAATATTCAAGATCACAAACAGCAGATAATTTCGATCCTAAAAACAGTTAAAAAGCAAGTAGTCATGGCTATATCAGTTAAAAAGCAAGTAGTCATGGCTATATCGGTTATAACATACTATTAACCAGCAATAAAACCACGCGAGAAATAGAACACATCACAGTCTCTATTATACACACTACACAGTGAACACACGTAGAGTCCTCACTCAGATTAGATACTCAAACTAAAGTTTCACGTCATACAACATAATCAATACAGTGTAGCCAGTCCACACTCCACACCCATCCATAATATGAAGGACTTGTTTTAATTCTAAATGAAAAGCTAGAATTTACGTCATACGTCATACAGAACAGGATGTACAAAATACCAAAATAGCGTCCTGTAATTGTAAATTGGTTCGAGTAATCACCGTGTCTACTGGGGGAGTAACTCGCACTAAAATCATTAATTGTAAGATTAAACCAGGGAGTGGAGCTCCGAGAACGTTGTGAGCCAGCTTTGGTTTAAATAGAACGAGTGCATATCACGCGATGTTGTCACGCGATGTTGGGTTGTGATGTTTTATCAGCTGGATGATGATGAGGTTAAGTGTTCGGACTGATTTTTTAACAATTTTATGGTTCGATGCTAATAATGTTATAATGGTATTTGCAAAACAGCGAAAAAGTGGAAATTTTGAAAAGACCTAATTGATCTTAACGAAGCGGAACGTTAAACAAAATGATTGGCAGAAATCCAAAAAGCCTGACTCGATAATAAAATAAAAATTTAGGGCATTCCAATTTGTAGGTCATGAATGATCTAAAGAACCAGTCATACAAAAAACATAATTTAATAAGCCTGCAAATTGGAAAAAATGTGTTATCTTTACTTCATAAATAAAGAGAGCGAACAACAGGAGTCAGTAATAAAATCCTCTGAGCAATAATCACAGACCAAACGAATAAAAACAATCGTCATACAATAAATATATAAAATTCTAGAATCACAGACTCTCATAACAAAAGCACGCCACTTAATTACTAATTTTAATTGCCGAAATGTGAAGCAATCCGTGAATTACCCGCCCTCAAACAAATTTAACCAATCACAAATCACACAATTGGGCGCTCCCAAGAGCAATTAATAATTGAGCCAGCAATCTGGCAGCGGCACAAATCATGATCTCAACATGCAAGCAGTTTAAAAATGGTACGAAACTTCCTCCTGCAACCACTAACTGTGTGATATTGGGAGGTTCCCAGATCACGTCAATTACCCTGATCAACGCATCTACTTTACAAAGCAATTATATCTGCCTGAAGCTCAACCAGCAACAGGAACCATATCCTGGAAATTGGACTACAATCAATGGGTATAATTTCTTAAGCCAGCACTGCATCTTAGAACCAACAAAACAATTCCATATAAATGGTTAAGTACCCTGCCCATCATTTATACGCTGTTAAGTAGACGTTACGTAGTGAAATATTTGGGAGGTTTCGTAATTTTGAGATTACGTCCATGGGCTGTGGGCGGACAAATCATATGGCTAACTGTAGTTCTGGAGATGGATCTAGGCGGACTGAAAGCAAGGAGAGGGAGGCAGAAAGTAGTGGGATGAATGGCGAACTACCTTCAATAGCCTTCATGGTACAGGGTTATACCATCGCCAAAAGACACTCCAAATTTGGCCAGTATAAGGGGGTACTTAACAGGGAGTCTACGACAAGAGAGCTGGCAAACCACTTCGTGCGAGCAGGAGCTGGGTTGAGACGGCGTCAAAATCATTGCACTGCCAATTTCCGGGGTACTAAACGTAGCTAAGTTTGTAATGAAAAGTTGGAAGATGGATATATTGCTACTAAATTGTAATTGTTTATAATTTCAGGTACTCTGAGGTCGGCTAAATAGATGATAATATGCCAGAAAGGTTGGAGTCATCACAAGTTTCAATTGTTGCATACCACTCCCTGTCAGTCTTAATCTCACAAAAATAAAAATTTTGTTTTGTGAGCATAGCTGCTCTGTGATGATGAAACGTAATTTATAGTATTTGGAAGAAGCTTCGGATTTTGTCAATCAATTTTCATCTGAATCATATCTAGATACCAAATCTGTTTCTTTACAAATTGATAAAAATCAGCTGAATAATGTCTCTGATACCGAAATATTGAATTAATGATAAGTAATGTTCGTTAGATCCATGTTTGAAACTAATTCACTGGCTGTCCACTGCCTTCTCGGCTGAAACCTGGAGATAAAAACAAATAAAAGACAATTGGCAATGAGCCAAAAAGTAAATCAAGTAGAATGCAGAAGCTTAGAGTTTAATAAGAAGTTGAAGCTTAGAGTTTAATAAGAAGTTGAAGCTTAGAGTTTAATAAGAAGTTGAAGCTTAGAGTTTAATAAGAAGTTGAAGCTTAGAGTTTAATAAGAAGTTGAAGCTTAGAATTTAATAAGAAGTTGAAGCTTAGAGTTTAATAAGAAGTTGAAGCTTAGAGTTTAATAAGAAGTTGAAGCTTAGAGTTTAATAAGAAGTTGAAGCTTAGAGTTTAATAAGAAGTTGAAGCTTAGAGTTTAATAAGAAGTTGAAGCTTAGAGTTTAATAAGAAGTTGAAGCTTAGAGTTTAATAACAAGTTGAAGCTTAGAGTTTAATAAGAAGTTGAAGCTTAGAGTTTAATAAGAAGTTGAAGCTTAGAGTTTAATAAGAAGTTGAAGCTTAGAGTTTAATAAGAAGTTGAAGCTTAGAGTTTAATAACAAGTTGAAGCTTAGAGTTTAATAACAAGTTGAAGCCAGAAAGGAAATATAATCTAGTTCACTTTAAAATTGAAAATCCACAGAAATTAATGAAATGATGAACATACTTCCAAGAATAGCTCTTGACAACTCCTGAAGCGAACAGGGCGATGATCTGCCTGCCGAACATGTCCCAGGAGAGGTGTTTTATGGGCTGACTGTGGTCCTCCTTGGGACGCAGTACTGGTTCTCGCTCCGGGACTACTTCCTCTGCCATTTCCTGAGTCGGGAGACTAATTATCGTCCAGCAGACTAATTAAATACTCCAGTAGACTAATTAGGGTAATTAACTAACAGCCTGGGTTTAATTGGGGATCTGTAGAACATTTTACGACACAAAATGTTTCAATTTTCTGTACTAGCATAATTCTGAAATTATATCGAAGTCTAGGCTTGAATGAGCTTCTGCAGAACGTGGTACGATAAAATGTTACAATTTTCTGTAGCACAATGCTAAAATTTCTCGTACGAGTATTAGAGTTCTTTATAAAGTTTACTGGAGAAAATTGGCATTCTAATTCTATTTTCAAAGACTTGGCCGAATATAATAAAAATTAGCAGGTGCAAGACACCTCAAACCTTATCAGTTTTATAAAACTTGTTAGCGACCACAAACCATATATGTGGATCTAGGAGCGGTTTCTTAGTCTTGAATAATATAAAAATTCAGGTTATATTAAGACACCAGAATGACACATATATGCGAGGATAGCACTTGGAAATTAGATTAATTATATTATGTTTACTGGAATAACCTGAATTAACTCTAAAGTATGAAACACAGTGAGACCATAAACGAGTGACATTTACCGTACAATTGCAGAAACAACTAGAAAGTTAGAGTCCCTGAAGCTAACTCTATTAGCATGGCACGGATAAGTGGCAGCTGGCTGTAGGTAATCCGAGTTTATAAACCCAGCAAAACCTCCAACTTGCTATAAATCTGACCCCAACTTGTGACTTATCCTACGAAGACGATTTGGAAATGACGAATATAACTCTACTCCTGTGCTGCCTGACAAGTGCCCTGGCCCTCCAGGGTGATCTCAAACAGATTCTGAAGTCTCCTAAAGCTACTCTAAAGCTCTACAACGGATTTAAATCCCGCCAGGGCATCCAACACGATTCTCCCTCCGAAGACAGACTTAGATTCGGACTTTTCAGGAAAAATGCCCAGTTTGTGGCAGACGCTAACTCCGTAACCGCTGACTCAGCGCTATACGGTTTAAACTTCTTCTCAGCGATGACATCTGAAGAACAGGGAACGTATCTGGGACTGAACGCAACAGGCAGGTCCCCCAACCCTCCTCCAGCTCTAACAACCTCCGAAGATGTGATCCCTGACTCTACGATGTGGGTCAACAAAGCTGCCGTCACCCAAGTCAAGGACCAGGGAAGCTGTGGATCTAGCTGGAGTTTTGCAGTGGTTGGAGCGATAGAGACACGGTACCAGCAGTTATCTGGCAGACTGAGAAACCTGGCTGAACAAGAACTCCTCGACTGTGTGTACTGGTTTAATGGTGGGTGTAAGGGAGGGTGGATGAGTGATGCTTACGATTGGATTATCGAGTTTGATGGGACTCTCTCAGCAACGAGCGAGTATCCTTACACTGGTAAAGACAGTTGGTGTAAAGTTAGCAACACTTACAACGCTCTCAGATCTCACAAGATCGTCCGGGCGAGGTCAGTTCCTCAGGGTGAGGCTGCTAACATAGCCGCCCTGGCTCAAGGCAGTTTAGCTGTATCTATCGAGGTGACAGACCACTTCAAGTACTACTTGAGTGGGATTCTGAGAGACGAGACGTGCTCTGGAGATGTGAACCACGGAGCTGTAGCTGTGGGTTACACTAGGGACTACATCCTGGTTAAGAACTCCTGGTCTCATCTGTGGGGAGAGGATGGGTTCGTGAAGCTAGCAAGAGGACACCACAACTGCGGCCTCTACCAATACAGCAGTTACCCTGAGTTTGAGGAGACAGGCAAGATGGATAACGGCGAGTCTGATGCGGCGACTGAGTACAGAGTTGACGACATTCTACCAGAACCAACCCCCACACCCACCATCCCTGAACCTACCCAGGCTGAAGTTACAACACCACAACCCTCTCCAGCTCCCACACCAGATCCTGAGTGCAGAGACAAAGCGACCAACTGTGAACGAGACAACCTGTGCCAGTACCCGAGCCAGGCAGAGACCTGGTGTGCTAAGTACTGCAAGTTCTGTGATTCAGAGCCTACTCCTAACCCAACTCCAGTAACCAACCCAAACCCAACTCCTGACCCAGAGCCTCTGTGTTACGACAAAGCTACCAACTGTGTGAGGGACAGTTTGTGTGATTTCCCCGATCTAGCTGAGACGTGGTGCACAAAACAGTGTGGTTATTGCTAGTGCTTCACTTCTAGTAAACTTTAAGCTTATTTTAGCAATTAGTTTGTTTTTATTCTTCTTTCAAGGCACAATCATAAATAAATATTAATAAAAGTAAATTATAGGTAACACTGGAAATAAAACCAGAATGACACCAGTAAAAGTAAAATAGCACAACTAAAAGTAAGTGCAAACTACCTCAGAGCAGATCTTGAACACAACCAGTTCAGCCTCAGTAGCCACAGCTAGAATGTTATCCCGAGCTCCATTGTTGGGTCGGAATGCCACGTGGTGTAGTTTACTAGTCAGGGGTATACTCACTATCTTGCTCCACTTTTTGGGGCTCTGAAAGAAAGGATTTTAGTTTATTTAGTGGACCTAATTACAACGAGTAGTAACATTTTCAGAATTTTCTAAAGAATAATTAATCTGGTTATCCTGAAGAAGTACACATTACAACACAGTATTAGTGAATGAAATATTATTTTTATCCGTTAGAAGCAATAACAGTCCATCATGACGTCAGCAAGGTTTCTAATGAACAAATTAAAACTTTAAAAGAGCTCCATCGTCAGATTAGCTGGTGAAGATGGAATATTAACTTTATTAATCCTGGGTAACTTAAGTTCATTAATCCTGGATAACTTAAGTTCATTAATCCTGGACGCAAACAGTTTGACCAAATATTTTAATCGAATTGAAGAGTCCTACTCAACTGTGGTCAGGAAAATAAGGTCCTTATTATTATAAATTACTATATATAATATATGTATTACTATAAATCTATACCTACACGACTGCAACGACTGATTTTAACTTCCAGATTTTCGCAGAGTTGGAAATAAAAACTCACCATCTTTAAGTGTCGTATTAAAATCTTGATGAAGAGTATTTTTCAGATAATACTGTTCAATCGACAAAGAAATGGCAAAGTGAATTCGATGGTTTATCTACTTTTTCAAGCCGGTTTCGGGATAAATAAAACTTTAAAAAGCAAAAAAATCCGGAAGCCCGGAGAAGCAGTGACGAGCCGCTGGCGGTCGTCCATAAAACATACCTCGAGCGTTTATTTACTGAGATAAAGAATATGCTTGTTGAAAAATCACATGAGGTGCAAAAAGGAGAATGACTAACGTCAAGCAACACATAGACAGTACATTCGTACGAGTATTTGTATAGAGACTAGTAGAGTTTATATCAACATTTGAAAACGTCTACTATACAGAATATTTTAATAACGTGAGAGTACATTTTTCGTTAAGAATTGTTTTACTATGAACTTATTGTTTCTACTTCTGGTTGAATTCCTTCTGATCTCATGGAGCACGTGATGATGATTGTTGTTTTATAATTATATAAAATTATGCTAGAGAATGTTTGTTACCGTAAAAACTTTAAATTTAGTGATCTACTGTTTATGTGAGCCCAAGCGGCTGTTTCAGTTTTATGTGTAAAATACAGAAAAACAAGGTAGCTGCTTCAAAAATGAACTTCTAAGTGGTCCTCGTAAACTAGATAATATGGTTTCAAACAGTAATTGGCCTGCATGCTGGGCAGTCCAAATCATGCAATATCGGTTTTATGTGTAAAATAGAAAAACAAGGTAGCTGCTTCAAAAATGAACTTCTAAGTGGTCCTCGTAAACTAGATAATATGGTTTCAAACAGTAATTGGTCTGCATGCTAGGCAGTCCAAATCATGCAATATCAGAGTGGGTGCATTATATAAACAATATACGGTAAACTAGCAATCATATAATGAGCGGCGTATATATAATGTGAATGATAAGTTCTAATAGAATGAACGGTTTCCTTAACAATAACTACAAGATTAGTTGATAAAATCATAACAATCATGCATACTTACTTACTTTCTTACTTACAATCTAATGCATCATGCTGCATGCATATTATTATGATCAAGCAAATCACTAAGCAAACTTACGGCTATTTACCAATATGCTGATATGCTGCTAGAGCTCAATCATCTATACTAAAGATCCGACATAGTTAAACTGCCCTTAAAAAACATGCACAAATAGTTTATTTACGTTCCATTTCTAGATGTTCATTTCTTATCGATGTTTATCTAAAAATACTACTAACCGATTAAAGCATAATTCGCACTAGGTTCACAAATCCGCCCAGAGTAATATTTAACTTCATGTTCGCGTTCTACACGTGATCTTGCTAAAACCTGCCACCATGTTGACTATCAACAGTAAGACACGTGGAGATAAATTAAGACCCATAAATTGATCTTAACAAATCATAGAAGTGAATGCCATCAAGCTTCGCTATTCTTTTATCAAATTTAGTTGACGGTAAGTGAATGTATTTGTAATCAGTAATTCAATAAAGACAATAATAGACTTAGTGCAGCAGAGTACACACACACGCTGGTTTTATAATCAAAGAAGACAAATGATCAATTGAATGAGTTTAATCAAAAGAATTGAAACAATTTGCTCTAATCATTACTCAGGAATCTTGATACAGACTCAGGAATCTTTGGAATAAAAAGTGACAGTTTTGAAAATTTCCTCGTCTTATAGATTAGATTTTTAATTGATTTTAATCGAAATAAAACAGGGATCATGTATGATGTATGATCGCCTTTAAATCGGTGTAATATACCTATCATGAATCTAGAGTATAGGGTCTAAACAGGACTCCGTAGCTATCCAAATAAAAAGCACACAAAAGTGCATAAGAATAGACAACACAATATAACAATGTTAACCAGCCTAGATATAGAAGAATATAGTATATACTTCAGAATATATTTCAGATTATACCCCGAGATTACATTGCATCATTATTAATTTTGAGAATACATTCCTCAGGCCAGAAGAACGGACCATGATCTCTAAAATACTCCAGAAGTATAACACCGAGCTGTGTGTACCTCGTAGAAGGGCCTAAGCAAGGAAATGACTAAGAAATGTTTCAGTTGATACGGAGGACTGGAGGGGAAGTTTCTATCGGATAGCCAGGAGGCCTCACTTAACAGCAAATCAGACCATCGATCCTGCTGAAGTATTACAGAGAATCTAAACAATGTGAAATGCACTAAAACTGCAACAAGAATTATGTTGATTAATTCAAGTATATCTTAGAGTGTTTTATGCACCAAGCGCGCAGGGGCAGGGACATGCGCGCAGGGACATGCTAAATATTGTCCCCAACCAGGAACCTACCCTATCAGACAGAGAACCAGGAACCTACCCTATCAGACAGAGAATTCTCGCTGAAATTGTAGAGGTCGACTCTGGAGCCTCCCTTACCTCCTAGCACTCCAACAGCCAGGACTAGGTTGGTGAAGCGAGACGAGGAGTTCCAGGACAGACAGGAGATCTTACCCGGCTCATCGGAGTAGTCTATCTGAGGGCAGTTTTTAAACTAGCTTAAAAGCTAATTAGAAGCTAATTAGAAGCTAATTAAAAGCTAATTAGCTTAAAATTATACCTTTATACGCTATTTGTGCATATTTGTAAGGGCAGTTTCACTATAATATATGGGCAATTTCATGAAACATGAACAAGGAGGGAAAAAAATAAATTTCAGTTATGGCACTAGCTTTGATTGGAGTCTGAAAGAGAAGATTATAAACTGTTAGACACAAAAAACCGCTTATAAATATCTCACTTCGTTTCTGTGTTATCGCGTTTTCAAAATACCCATAAATTGTCATGTTTTACAGGCTAAAACTACTCTATAATAAAAGCTGTTTACTAAAAAGAGATTGTTGTAATATTCATTAATTCTTGATCTGTAAAGGTTCATACCACTTCACTGAAGCTGTATGCAAAATTTGGGACTCAAAATTTAAGCAGATTCGGAGCAATGCTATTCTACTTTCTCCTGTTTTTAGTGTAAATTACTATACATAAAAAACAAAAAAGTTTTCTGTTGGCCACATTTCATGTTATTTCTTGCTGAAATCTTGCTAAAACAAGCTAACTCTGATGTCAAGACATAATGTACTTGTTTATTTGGATCCATAGATATCAGATCATGTCAATACCAGCGTCAAGTAAGTTACATGTCAAGTAATTTACATGTCAAGTAATTTACACATATGCTTTTTATTCAGTAATAGTAGTAAAACACAACAAGTAACGATTGTCAAACAGAATAAAAGTTATTTAAAAGTGATAATAGATTGGTTCTGGTCAGAATTTCATTAAAGAAATCTATAAAAATGGTTTAAAATGGTTAAAAATTGACTTTTCGAAAATATAATATAAATAATACTTTACTTTACAGAAAATCCAGTGGCCTGCTTGAACACAAATTTTTGAGCTGGGAAACATTCGTACATTTACGCCCACCTACCTACTCTGTATAACTGGGCTAACTGTGGACCCAATCAGTGGATCAATCAACCAATTAAGGGGGCCGGGGGGTCTTCATCAAAATTCCCTCGAAATTGACTTTTTAGTTGTTTCTGATAGAAGGGAGTGATATCTATCAGATGCTTTTGGTCCCATGGAAAAATATTATTCCTAGCCGAAATTATTGTCGGTCAAAGATCAGCACTTATGTGTAATTGTATTGCGCGAGCGATTTTTAATCACATGTCCTGAAAATCGAGTCTAAAAATCTATTTTCTCCTACATGTTTTGAGCAATCACCCTGAAACTTTCAGGATATGTTCTAGAGATAATTTAAAAGAGATGAGCCAAACAGAATTTTGAGATAGGCCTTTAAACATATTTTATTCGATTTTGAAAATCTTGAACCTCGTTTTTTGACGATTTTTTGAGGTCTAAGATTTTCAAAAATTGAAAATCGCTCGCGCAATACAATTACACATAAGCACTGACATTTGACCGATAATAATTTCGTCTAGGAACAATATTTTTCCATGGGACCAAAAGCATCTGATAGATATCACTCCCCTCTATTAGAAACAACTATAAAGTCAATTTCGAGAAAATTTTGATGAAGGCCCCCCCGGCCCCCTTAATTGGCTAATGATAAACTGATATATCATTATTAATCATATATTACATAGTTCATACACTTAGCAAACGAATTAAAGACAAAGGGGCAGCTTTAAACAGTTAAAATCAAAGGATTGTGTAACAGTGTAAACTACTTGACACAAAAGAGTAACTTACTTTACAAGGAACAAAGGCTTCTACAGAACACAGCTATTAACCATTTACCAAAACAAACCCTTTCCAGTACAGGCAAGACATTTGCCAGTGTGCATGAAAAATATTTAAATGTTTACTCTCACACCTGGGCACGAAATGAGATTTCAATACACGTTGGTCAGGAATGTCAATTTGTGCCCTGTAATTTACTTTACATTTTCAAACGTGCCTCACTCAAAAGCCATAGCAGTTGGAGTAAAAATCTTAATATAGCTGTGTGTGGAGTACATAAGAGATGTTTCATGCAATTTATCATGATTCTGTTATGTTTGTGTAATGCTTGAGAGTCAGAATAAGGCCAAATTTTTGTGCAAAGTGTAATTTACTTTACGTGAAATCGCCCATATACAGAATACAACTTACTTAATACAACTTGTTAACGTCTCAATAGAATCTAATGTAGTTATCAGCAGAATAAAATTAAGATCTTTAAGCTTTTTCATTGAATACGATTTCAACTCACGATATTTTCAGAGGTGCAGTCACAGTAAGTGTCGTTGAGTTCTGAGTTCACTTGCACAGTGTACAACCTAACTTTATCCTCACTACACGCAGCTAGTCTCAGCTGATCTGGCGGGGTAATACACTTTACCACAATTTTTTCAAATAAATATTATAGAAATATTATAAATCAATTTATGTTCTTGTGCTGAGCTGTTTTATACTTGAAAATTGTCCAATGAAGAAAACATGGCAACATCCAAGAACCTCGACCACTAATGTCTAATAGTGACCACTAAGGGTACACATTAGAGTAGACGACTTAGTGGTGGGGCTTGTTGAATACTGGCAACATGACCAGATAATCACGTACCTTGTTGAATACTGGTAACAGATAATCACGTACCTGGAGAACCAGTCATCATATCAGACCAGGTTCTGGGGGCGAACTTAACGTCAGTAACTGGTGTAGAGCTGTCTGTTAGCTCTTTCTTAACCCAGTTCGTCTTGTCGTCGTTCATCTGAGGGAGGGTGCGTGTTACCAGATGATGACAGGAGATAGCACTGATAACAGGAAATCACCCAAAATTAAACTTAAAACTAAATAATAAGATGAATAATTTAGTATTTTACAGAATGTTAGCCTAAAATCTTACCTGAAATAAAATAACAAAAAAACTAAAACCCCTCTCCATACTCATGTCTCATACAAACATGAGTTAGTTAAAGTTACAGAAGCAACTAACCATGCGCCAGATAGTTGCCCGGTGGCTTGTAGCACTAACAGCACTAATAGCAGGAAATCACCCAAAATCAAACTTAAAACATTATAATATGTAGAATTTACAGAACGTTAGTCTAACATTTCGCATGAAATAAAGTAAGAAAAACAACTAAAATCATTCTCCATACTCATACAAACATGAATTTAAGTAACAAAAGCAACCGAAACCCCTCCTAGAAACTAACCATGCGCCAGATAGTAGCCCGGTGGTCCATACTACAGGTAGCCAGGATAGTGCCGTAGTCAGGATGTGCCCACGTGACCCTCCAAACTGGGGAGTAATGCGCCATTATCTCCTTGACTACTGTCCACGTTCCACTTTCCAGCTTCTCCCATATCTTTACCTGCATATATATTTTATCAACTGGTATGGTTGATGGAAACGGCCTTAATTAAGGTTTGGTTTGAAGTACTAGATTGAGGCAGAGCATTGAGTAAGATTACAAATCATGCTATTTCATAAAACAAATATCAAGGAGCCAGGAGAAATGTGCTCAACTAAAATTAAAACAACCAATAAGTTATCAGGCAAACAGTGATAATTAACACCTGAAACTAACCTTGTGATCTGAAGAACATGTAGCCATCATGTCACCGTACCAATTAAACTGGATATCATGTATCGTATCTTCATGGTGATATCTTCGATCTGTTATAATGTAAGCAGTTTCATTACGACATAATAATTGAGCTTGCACGTCCAATCAGGAGTTTGAGTTTAAGTACAAGAATGACAAATGGTCAGCTACAGGTCGAATAACTGGTCAATGCATACATCGGAACTCATAGTTTCAATAAAGTTCAAATGAGAAACTAAGAATAAAGTCATCTATTAAACGTTTGGGAGATAAAAACAATTAATCAACTCGTAGCGGTCTCTCAGCGGTCTCTCAGCAAATATGCCACCACGAAGAAGAAACACGATATGAATTGACACAATACCGTGTGTCTTATTGTACGAATACTACAATGAAGAGCTATCATATAAAGAATAAGGATATAATATTGCTATCATATAATATAGCGCACCGGATACATTATCATCATAACTTAATTTAATTAAACAAATATAATGCAGGTCGTTGTAACTTAGGCAAGATCAAAAACAAAAAATACCAACAATTTATCTTCATGCACAATCGTCACCGAGACGGAGAACAGATTGTGTAATGTGTGACGGCATTAAAAAAAGAGCACTAATGACTAAACTTGGGCCTTATGTTAGAATTAGATTATGAAATGAGATAATAGCACTATATAGCAGCACTATATAATAATATAATATAACTGTGTACCTTTCTTATTTTCTGAGTTCAAGAACTGGATTTCAGCGGTTGGCATGACTGGAGTCCACCACTTTCTTCTGCGTTATTTGCACTAGTTCATACTTTGTTCCACCTCAGACATCTAAAATTGTTATTTAATGTGTAATCAGATACTGGTGAGCAATATTTTCAGTTTATCTAACACGTGACTGCCAATAACCAATCAGCTATTTCAACTCAAATATGGTTCACTTCCCATGTTATATAAGAAGTATATAACTGATAAACATCAACTAATGATTTTAGTTCCGTGTAGAAATTCAAGTTCAAATTTTCTACTACGTAAGTTGTTTAATGTTTATGTTTACCAATGGTAACAGTTAATCGTTATAATATAACAACTCTCTTAAATGCGGCTTCTAAAGAACACAATCCTTGTTATACTACATAGTATCAAAATATAATATTATGATAGATAACAATTAATACTGTGATCAACAAAACATCACATATCTAATAAATAAATTTCTGGCTTTATCCACAATATTTACAAATGGAATGTACACGTGCAAACGATTTTGTCAATTCTAATGTAAATCACAAATATAATCTGAAGAAACGTCTGATAAATCTGAAAATACTGTCTGAAGGGTTGTATTATATAAGTCTCTGATGGGTCGTCCAGTCCTAATAATAGTACTGGCACATAGTTACACATGTTTAGTAGTTACTAGTGGTTACTAGTGGTTACTAGTGGTTACTAGTGGTTACTAGTGGTTACTAGTGGTTACTAGTGGCTACTAGTGGTTACTAGTTATCTGGATTCTGCAGAAGGTGTTCGCGAGGTTTCATCTCTGCTCATGCTCGTCTTCTCTGTGTCTTCAACAAGAGCCTGATAAATTAGTAATATAGATAACAAAATATGGTGATTTAACAGGAACCGAACTAATTCTGGGAGAAGTTTATTTTGCATCAGATTTGATAAGAGGAAAAGAAAAAGCGTTTAATTTGGACCTGTTGATGTTGTGTCAGGACCTGCCCACTGTGTTCTTTACGCCACGCAGCAAAGGACTCTGCACCATACTCCGAGTACAACTTTTCTCTCTTGTCAGCGCATTTAGCTACCTCTGAATTCATTCTGTAAGACAAGATGTTACAACGTTTGAAAAGAAGGATGTTTTCAAAACGTTTTCCTTGAATTATTTTCGTGTCGGCTTGCCTTGCCTATTCAGTTAATTAAATAACAATGAAGAATGGCTTTTATATTTACAAAACAATATTAAAAATCATGACAATATTCATAAAAAAAGTTGAATATAATTTATTTTTGAAAACCACCCAAAATCCATAATCAAGAACAATAGTCATCGCGATCGCTTCAAAAAAATGTGAACATAAAATAAATTATAAACTCCTGATTATAATAATAACGAGCTCATTTCTCAATAGAATAAATTATCTCAAAAAGGTTCTATCAAAGACAAAGTTTCAAAACGTAACAATAGTTATCCCTACACCCGACAACACAATACACATCAGATCCAAGATAACAAACCCTCGGAGAAGAGAAACACTTGCCTGGAAGAGCGAAACTGCTGATACACTGCCCGTCCTTCACTTCCACCACAGACACTGTCCCATCAGTGGAGCTTAACAGAATAGCAGAGTCCCCGACCAGAGCAGGTGATGAGGATACTTTGTGGGGTGTGTTACAGCTCCAGTCCTGGTGTTCAGGGAGACTGTCAGGGTAGCAGTGTAGCAGGTGGTCGTGTGAAGTTATGTAGAGCTTACCGTCGTCAAGTACCAGGTTTGAGTAGATTAGTCCATTTGTAGTTATCTTCTGCTGAACTGACAAGTCTATTGTAGATAACTTTAAAACATCACCAGTTACTAAGGCTATAAATATGGAAGATTCGTCAGTTGAACTCACAGGTGAGCTGAATATGGGAGCTTTAAACTGGTTCGAAAACAGATGATCAAGCTTTTTGTTTAAGGTAGTTACTTTTCCTGACAGACTGCAAGCCACCAGAACTGACGAAAGAACAAGTACAGAAGCTGAAATGGGTTTATTGTCTATTTCCACAGATTTGGTCACGAAGTTGGTTGAGCCCTGATCCAGCTGAGGTGACACTTTATACAATTTACCGTCGTGGGAACCACAGTAAACAGATCCACTTCCAGAAGTGTCAGTGGAGGGAGAACACTTGACCTGATCTCCCGTTCTAACACTATACTCTATAGTCCCAGTATCTGAACTAACAACGTAGATAGACCCGTCATAGCACCCCACGTAGACACGTGACAGTAAGAAGCAGGGGGAGGATTCTATCCTGTCTGGAAGCTGACATCTCCAAATCTCTGTAGACTCCGGGATTGTACCACAGAAGAGGACCCCTGAGTGGGACCCAACACAGTAACGTACTAAACCGGTGCTTGTAGTGAACACTACTGGGGAGGAGTCAACACAGAGACTTAGGTTTGCTCTGGATATTACTGTTAATTTGTTCGTTTTGTCGTATGGAACTTGTGTGTCTTTTGGTGTAACCTGTTTTGGCAGAGTTTCCCATAGTCGGTCAAGTGGGCAAATAAACAGGGTTTGGAGCAAAGAATCTGGGTCTGAAGATAAGGCAAGGGTTGGGAAAATATCCAATAAATAATTTGAAAGCTGCATCATGTCGAGTGAGTCGAGTCCTAAGTTGACGAGAATTTGACAGGAATCGTATGAGCAGTAGCCTCTCAACATCAGGAATTCTCTTACAGTATTATTCAAGTTAGTTTCCGTGAGCTCAAGAGTCAAAACATCACAACATAACTTTTCCTCGTCAATCTTAAGATGCAAGGTCATAGGGATCTTATCAGAGGCAACCTTAATTCTGTCAAACTTGTAGTGAGGTGGTAAAACTTTTTTCAGTTCAGATCTCAGTTTATACTCTGGCAGATCTAAATCAGAAAATAGGAACAAGTACACCCGATTGTTAATGAATTTGACATGTGATTCAATACTGAATATTTCTTTGATGGTTCTCTGTATAACCACCCTGCAGATCTTCTTGCCATTGATCTTCACTTGATCTCTGTTAATTCGACCAGAAATGTACAATCTCCCATCCTTAACCAGTACCATATCGCCAGTTGCATACCATTCTGGTGCCAACTTTTCATCAATGTAACACTTTCTATCACCTCCCAGAAACAGTTCGCCGTTTTTTACACAATACTTTGTTCCAGGTACTGGTTCTCCAAGAGGGACATTTTGTAAATTGATATCGTTCCTGGTGAACTCATGGATGAAGCTCCAACAGGATTGTTCAGTAATACCATAGAAGTTGAATATTCTCAATTGTTTGTTACATTGCTTTGATGATGATGTTTTGCAGTAGTGCTCATTGATCAGGCCCAAAGGAAACATTTCACCTCCCAGTGCAAGAATTCTAAGGTTCTTTAGTCTTTTACTTATAGGATCAGGAAGAATGCTTAGTAGAGAAGGTGTACACAGTAATACAGTTGCCTCAGATATGTGTTTACTGAGTGTTCTAGGATCACTAATCTCCCCCTCAACGAAAACAAAAGATGCCCCAGCCAACACTGTCAAAAATATTTCAATGATTGAAGGATCAAATGTCAATGGAGAGCACGATAAAACTTTATCTGAAGTCTTCAGTTGTAACGTTTCATGAAAGTTAATAATATTTGGTATAATAGATGAGTTTGGAACTGAGACCGACTTAGGTACGCCAGTTGTGCCCGATGTTGTAAAAATATATGCTAGATCCTGATGAGGCACGACTATAGACTGTTTCTCCTTATAACCATGAGTACAGGATGGGTTTGAAACGCTAATTGTTACTAGCATAGTTTCAGCTGCAGGTATATGAGGTAATAACATAAAAGCGGTTTCATCAACCAAGCAAAAGTCGACCTTACATCGATTAAGTTTCTTGGCAAGCCGTACCCAAGATGCACAGTAATGGCAATGCTCTATTAGAGTCTCCAAACATGGGCTACAAAACTCGTCTCTGCCTTTGTGTCTTTTTACAGGTTGATGTCCAGGAAAAGAGCTCCTTGATAGCGAACACTCTTCAACACTGACAACAATTTCATCACAAGTTTGGAGTTTAGAATCAAAAATGGATATAGGAACATAAATGCAGTCTTGTTGGATAACATGTAAAATATTTATTATTGTCTGTGCTGTCTTTGGACCGCTATGAATGACTCCAACAACAGACTTGAACTGCAGGGAAGGTTTTGAGTCGAGTAAAGTCAAAACATCAGAATAGAGTAGACATTCACAAAAATGTTCTTGATGATGTTTATTGAAAGAAATCGTTAACATCTCTCTTAACCTAAGGATATAATTTACAATAACTGATGATACAAATTGGCTCATTGTACACAGCAATAAATAGTACAAAATATTGTTCTGATGTTACCTCATGATAAGGCCATGTAGCCCAACAAATATCCTATATAACTCTATGGCCTTCACCTTAGCTACTGATGAGATTTTAATTTGAATAGTTGTTTTTAAGAAAGTATTTTTAGGAAGTTTTCAACAATCTTACTGTTTAATAGAAGAGAGAGCACTGTTGTAAAAATTTTCCATCTTGTTACTGTCGATACCATCCTGAGAAATAATTTTAAGAAAGATGGCCAAAAAACTTGATCCAAAACATCAAAATATGTCAAATAAATCCTAAAATAATGAGTAATGAAACTAGTCATCCAACTTTGAACCTCTAAATTTACCTCTTGTGATGAAAACTGGCGATCTGCTTCCTCCATGACAAAGTTTTTAAGATTAGCCATACTTGAGCCTAAAAATTAATGGGAATAGTTAAAAGCTAACAGACTTGGTGTTATGATAATGATAACAAATATTTTTATTGGTAAAACATTCCTTGTTGAGATTTTTTAATAGGAGCAATCTCGTTTATAGCATACTCAAAAGTACTCAAAACTCTTATTTACAAACAAATGTATATTGTATAGTTATACAAGAAGCCTGACCATTCATCAGGAATTAAGCCAACAATTCAACAGGGCAAAAAGTGGTATACAAAAATATCAGGTATAGAAGGGTTAACACTATAACACTATCACATACTGACTAATGTGTCATAGGTGAAAATAAGTTTAAAAAGTGGCACCTTAACGTAAGCCGAAATATTTTAAACCTGGCTTTTTTTTTGCAAGAGATGTTTACCTTGGCTAGGGATATCGCTAAATTTTAAAAGGTTTTTTCAACATCAGTTTAATTTATTATTAATTTTCTGGGGGTTTCTCCATGAGCTTGTTGATCTGGGCCCCTACAAAGTTTATGCAGTTTAGAAACGCTTTGAAAAGAAATAAAGGGGAGAGCAGGCTTTGGAGCAAAATGATAAATTTTATTGCTCTCTGGGACTTTCAAACAGGTCAAATTAACCTCTCTCAAGTTAAATTACTTTCATGTTCATCTTTTCACTTTAACTTTTTCAACAAAAAAAAGGTTTTGCTCTGGAGATGATCACTGAAGGAATACTGGCCGCAGACCAAAAATGTTGATCAAAATGATCAATTTTATTGCTCTGTGGGACTTTCAACTAGGGTTAATTAACTTCTCTCAAGTTAAATTTCCTTCAGGCTAATCTTTTCACAATTTAACCTGGCTTCAAAATTTAACCTGGCTTTGAAATTTTAGGAGGCCGAGGGGGCCATGAAAGGTACTTATTTACAGTGGTGTACTGTGTCGTTTTCTACTGTGTCGTTTTCTACTGTGCAGAGGAGAAAGTTGTTATGGACACTGACTATGCCGATGATATAATGGCTGTGATGGATAATACTGTAGGCGGGTTGCAAGAATCCACTGACCTTACCGGGTTGAAGATCAAGGCCAAAAAGACAGTGTATGGTTATCAGTAAATGTGCGTCCCAGCGACCCTACACCAAAAGAGACACAATTGAGCTGACAATGGAGGGGGAACCTGTTGAACAGGTCAGTAACTTTGTCTATCTGGGTGCCAACATTAGTGGGAATGGTACTATCAACCGAAATCTTGACATTAGGATCCAGCGTGCCAACTGCCAATGGCGCGTTCCACCAGCTCTGGAAGATATGGAACAGTAGAACTATAAAAACACCTGCCAAGATCCGCATCTACAAGGCTGCTGTTGTCACTATCCTGTTATACAAAGCTGAAGTCTGGAACACTACTAAGAAACAAATAAAGCGTTTTGAGGTTTTCCATCTAACCTCCCTGAGAAGAATCTTGAAGATAAAGTGGTTTTACCAGGTCTCCAATGATGAAGTTCTAGGCGTGCTGGCGTAAAGTCTATAGACACTTTCATCGGTTCTGCTAGACTACAGTGGTATGGACACGTTGTAAGAATGCCAGCGACTAGGTTACCAAATTTTCTACTGGAGTGGAAACCTAACTATGGAAAGCGATCGAGAGTGAGACTCCAAAAAGGCTGGATGGCCTGTGTACTCAAGTATGCTGCTAACTTTACAGGTGTTGACAACATCAGGCGAGATGCAGTAAACTGAGTGGAATGGAGGAACCTGTTACTCCATACAAGGGATGTGTGTGATGCAGGCCATTTCAACGACTAGGAGGAGACTAGGAGGAGACCATCACACACATCCCTCTACAAGGGATGTGTGTGATGCAGGCCATTTCGACGACTAGGAGGAGACCTCTTCATGTAGCATGTGTAACTTGTCGTATTTTGATTTTTAAAAAGTTTGATGTGTACTAACATCCAAGGATCAACCAGGACCACTTTTTTGGCCAGGACCAGGACTGGAAAAAAGTGCCAGGACCAGGAATAAGACCAAGACCAGGAATAAGACCGGGACCGAGAATAAAACCGGAACCAGAATTAAGCTGGGATTGGGACCAGGATCGTAGCTAATGACGTTAGGTTTAGCATTTAAACAATGTGCTATGTCAGCAAGTTGGTTGATCAAGTTGGTTGATCAAGTTGGTTGATATTGGATTTCTAGAATATTCTTCATTTGATTTTAGCATAAAACATACTACTGGTATTTAGTTTTCCGAATCTATCAGAGCATCTCTTTACCTACAAGTACAAGGCAATCTCAAGCCGCCGAAGAGTTTCTGATCTCCAGGTTTAAGAGAGATGTGGGCTTCCGATAGAGAAAATGTACAAGAATCAGTGCGGACAGTGATATCAAGAAAGGAAAAAACAGCGATACTGACGACTCAGTCAGAGAGATTTACGATGATGCAGCGACTTGGAACCAACTGACCAACTTCTACGCAGTACTTCAGACAGCTAGGCCCGGTTTCTCAGATATTTGAAGGACAAGCTGGTGCCCCAGAGAAGTAATCCCCTGGAGTTCTGGCGGAAAATCACACTCTGTACCAGTGGCGTAACCTTGCTTGTGGCCCCCTGCTGAAAATGCACCCCCTGTTAGCGCCCCCTTCCTTTTGGCATCCCTCCCTAAAATTGAACAAATTAGATGATTTTAGAGGATACGTCAGTAAAATCTCTAAAAATGTGTGTTTCTTGAGCAAAACGTGCAGTTTTGCTAGTACCGCAGTTAAGTTTTTCCAAATTGTCCCACATTGAAACGACGATTTGCCCCCCCCCCCCCCCCCTCCCCTAAGATTGCCCCCCCCCCCCCCCTGCACAGCGGCCTCCGCGGCGGGGCCCTTCATTACGGCCCTTCAAAATCAACTTGATTATTAAATACAACTGAAGAGTGAAACTACGAAAATTGAAAAAATTTGTTGTTTTCTCGAAATATATATATATATATATATATATATATATCAGCTCAATTTTCCTCCTGATTGGTTATTAGTTATATTACGTTGCCCCGAACAATCTGAACAAAGACGACTCGGACGACGAGAGTATGGTTACGGAGTCTAATATAAAAAGGCAGTAAGATTTACAGACGAATTAGATGATGAGGACATAGCGTAGGGTAGTATTAAGTATGCGTTAATTTACTGACTCTGAGTTCTGAACTACTATACAGCCTTGGCATCTTTTACTGATTTAAAGCACAGCTCACCACAAAAAACCAGCACATAACTCTCAATAAAACAAAAAATTTCAATGAAACAAGAAATTAAATTGTTAGCACATTTTACAAAATAAAATAAATTACAATTTCTCCACTTTCCGTTTTTGATCTTAAAACCTTCACTCGCGACGTTTTATATTGTTAAAATATTAAACTTCATTCAAATTACTTTCCAGTCGTCTACCTGTTTACCGTTCCTCCTTCATCGATCTGGATACTCAACAAAGCTTACTGGCATGTTTGGGTTGCGTTACTAGCAACTAGAGGTGATTGTGTTTTCACAGCGTGCTCATGCTCGCGCGCGCGCTTAAGTTTGTTGCTCGCGTTACGCATTGCAAAAATTCAGCCAATCAGAGGACAACCTTTTTGTATAACCTACCAAAACGCGCGCCGAGTTGGACTCGTCGCCGGTCTTGATATTAATATTTGGAACAAATTAAATATTTGTATCACGTCGTGACCCTCACGGTCGTTTCACTCTACCGCTGTAGCATGTAGAGTTTCTACGATACAGGGGGCCGGAGCCGCGCACTCGTGCGCAGCGGTTCATACAACGTATGACAATTAAATATTATTTACGAGTTATATCACCCATTAAGTGTTAAGGTGTAAATAGTGATGAATCATTTCACCTAGCCATGAGTCTACTTGTATCACGTGGTGACCCCCACTGTCGCTTCACTATACTGTAGAGTTTCGACGATACAGGGGGAGCCGCGCACTCGTGCGCGGCGGGTCATACAACGTATGACAAGAGTCTACGCGTATAACTGCGTGACGCGCGCTTGTTTCACAAGTAGAATACTTCGACGGTCGCGCGCTACTGCAAGCGAAAGGGCTCTGGATAGAGCAACTGAATCATTATATTATTTGTCTGTTATGTACATTGTAGGGTAAATTTTGTTACACGCTTCACAGGAGGGCCAATTAAATGCAAAATACTGCTGCTCAGTGCTCACTGCTGCTAACTGCTGCTCATTGCTGCTCACTGCTGCTAACTGCTGCTCATTGCTGCTCATGCTCACTGCCATGCTGTTTGGAGGACTTCGCCGCTTCGGCGCGCCGCGCAAACTAGCATTCTTGCTTCGCATCGTCGATCGTTGCTTTGCTTCGCAGAGCAACGATCTTGATGGGTTGACATCCTCAATCAAACTGCTGTTAATACATAATATATATAAACTGCTGTTAATATATAAAGGGGTCATTCATAAACGAAAACTCAGACTCAAATTGTGAGATAATCTTAGATTTTGAGATCAAATTCGCTTTTGGTATTCGTAAAGTTAATTATTTGCTGGGCTGAGTATTTTGTCGCTAGTAAATGCTCAGAGTTGGAACTAGCACTCAAATCGGTATTCATAAAGTTAGTATTTACTCGTCACCCAAAACTAACTCAAGATTGGTATTCATAAAGTTAGCAAATGATCAAAACTCATGCTCAAAATGTGAGAACCGAATTCACATTCTCAAATCATTTTCTCACATGTTGCTCAACGACTTTTAACGTCAATAACTTCCCTTCTAATTGATATTTTCACTTCAAATTTTCAGGGACGACTCCTCACTGCCAGTACAAAAGCTCTAATAAATTTTGTCCCGATTGGATGACGTTTTTGCAAATTTTCCCAGAAAAATAAACACGTTAGAGTATAAGCTTCCTTGTAAGTCCAATATAGATGCGACCATTACGGTTATTTAAAGCTAAAAATGGATGTGGATCACATGAATCGGGTTCATTATCATTATTATCCCGTTCATCAGTTTCATCATCCTCCCAGTCATCCCCCAAGTATTTCCCTACATTGTGCAGCACACAGCATGCTATAATAAACTTCGGAACCATTTCAATACTCACACGGTTAGGGACACGCAACATTTGAAAACGAGACTTTACTTGCCCAAAACTGTGTTCTATTGTCGATCTATCCGAAGTTAGAACATCGTTGAATGCCTTTTTGCGGGATCAGTAGCAGTTTGTGCTGCGGGAAATGGTTTCATGAGAAAAGGACTTAGTGTATACGCACTGTCAGTGTCACCGATAAGCAAACACCTCCCACTAACACCTGTTGATAAAGTCCGATAGGCTGCTGAGTTTCTCCATATTCGAGCGTCATGAACTTTACCAGGCCAAGAAGCATCAACATCCAAGAATTTGTAGTCAGCATCGCAAATCGCCTGAACGTTAAAGCAGTGAAACTTTTTCCTACCAGAGTAGTACTGTTGAGGGTTGTGTCGTCGAGGTGGGCCTTGAACCTTAATCAAGCAGCCGTCTACGGCCCCAAAGCAGTATGGGAAAAGTTTTTTCATCGCCCAGAATTGAGCCGCTTGACTGAAGTCCTGAGTTGTTGTCGGGAAAATAATCCAAACATCACGTTTTGCCACAATTCTTTCTATTACATACTTCACAGTCCGTGAAACAGTAGGTTGGGAGACGCCGACTATTTCGGAAACCCCATTTTGGAAACCCGGGTCTGAAAAATATCGGAGACAAATCTCCATTTTCTGTTTATTTGTCAAGGCGCCTCCTCGCGTTTCACCGGAATCAGGTCCCAAAAAATGCCTGGCCATCCAGTCAACGGACGGTTCTTCAAAGCGGAACTGGGTTTTGTAGTAAAAGTCCGTTTGGGGCTGACGTCGGGTCTTGAATGTTCTAGTCGAATGTGGGGCCGGTGGTAAAAGAGGAAGTGCCATAGAGCTCAGACTTAACACAAGCTGAGTTCAAACTTCGTCAATTAATCAATAACAAAATTAATCAATAACAAAAGACACAATCATGTCGAAAACATGCCACGAACATGATCATACAAAAGTTCAGCTTACCTTTCTATCACTGTCGGTATTGGGTTAGAATATTCTGCTAGGTAATTATTGAACATCGATATGTATTTAATAAAGTTTGAGAAATTGACGGCAAACCACAGTAAAACTACGGTGGGTTTCGGGAAACTACCGTGGATAAAAGAAAACTACAGTAAATCACGGTAAACCACTGTAAAAGGGACGTGAAATTACCTGTAGGGGACACAATATCGCACACGAAACATTCATTATAGATGTCAAGAATGATTCTGAATTATCTTCGGAGTCAAGGGTGTTATCATTTTGCCGCCATTTCAAGATTGCGATATCACAAATTCCATCACAGACATATGCGGTACGTGATGTGCGAATGTCGAATGTACTCGACACAAATTTCCCTCGAAAATGTTTATTTCACATTCCTTCGATACATCGATGTACACCCGAATTTGGGTGTTTTCCCATTAATATAAGATGGCAAACAAAAGATCTGAATTAACCTGTCGTGCTTCTTAAAATACTGATTTGAGTATTTGAGTGCTAGTTTGAGAGCATTTTAGTGAGTATTTACTTGAATGTAAGTCATACTCACGATGAATTCAGCTTGAGTATTAGTTTTTACTGGGCAGTAAATGCTCAAACTTTGTGAATACCGATTTTGAGACTCAGAAAAATCTAAGTAATTACTACTACTAGCGAGTATTTACTTAAGAAATACTTAGTTATTATGAATGACCCCTTAACTGCTACTAAGTCCACTAACTAAATATAAGCTGCTGCTAAAGCCATGTTTTAATGGACGATGTCAATTCATCGCAGTTCGGCGCGGCACAGTAGCGCATCTCGTCGATCTGTCGCTGTGAGAAGCCTCATTGAGTGCGCGGCGCGGCACAGTAACGCATCGCTTGACATACGTTGCATGCCAATTTTCGCGCGCGAAGCTACAACTAACCGCTACAACTAACTGCTGCAAATGCAAATGGCCCGCGCGACAGCAGCAGTTAGCAGCATTTGGCAGCATTTAGCATCAGTTTCTGAGTTTCTTGTTGCACTTTGTTCTTCCTGTGACGTGCGTCTTTGTTGATTGACGATGCCAACCCTTCCAGATCGTTGCTCTGCGAAGCAGCGAATGCTAGTTTGCGCGGCGCGTCGAAGTCCTCCAAGCGTCTTGCATGATGACAACTTATGCTTTGTCAAATATAATGTAGAGGGTTTTACAAGTGTGCGCGGTTATCTTACCCACTAACCTAGATTATCTTACCTAGCTTGTCAGTATCTTACCTAGCTTATCTTACCTAGCTTATCTTACCTAGCTTATCTTACCTAGTCTATTGCTCGCTACTCTCAGTTCTCACGGAGCTGTGCAAGAAGCTCGACAATATTTCTTCATTATCATGAATGAAATTTAGAGATAATCAAACGTAAATAAACCTAACAAAATCAAACAAAATTTTAAGACCATTCTGACGCGAACGTATGTGGTATGACTATCAGATATAATGTACAATAACAATATTAATAAATAAATCACCGAAATACAAACCCAAAAATTATTCTCACATGTAATAACAAGCCGCTGTCGTCAGTTTTAAACCCATGTTAATTGCAGAGTCAGATAGCAAAAACAAGGGACATGAATACAAAATTAAAAATTACTGGATGAGAATTAAAGTTCACTTTTTCCAGCGGAACATTGACCCTCCGAGGATTGACCATCAGGTGTACCTGAGCAGGTTTCTGAATCTTCGTTTTCAGCCTTTTCTTCTGAAGACGTCTTCATGAACTTCTCTTCAGGTTCAACGAAATGAAGGTCTTCTTTAGTATTAGCTTGCATGAAACTTATAATATTTTCAATGGATCTATCTCCCTCAAATTTGATAGGTCGAGAGTTCTTTCCCTTCGGTACGAAATAGATAGTGGGAAATCTGAAATGAGAATTTCGTTACTGTAAAATATATTATGAATTATGATAGTGTAAGGTATAGGTAATAATTAATAAACCCCATTTACATCGCGGTATGACTCAGTTAAAAATTAAATGCTAACATGAACTGCGGAACTACTAATACGAATGTCACAAAATTTTAGTTCAAACACCTACCCTCTAGACTCAAAAGGTCTGGGAAGAGAATTAGAAACTGCATCCATCTTTGCAATCAAGAGATTGGTGTCCTCCCTTGCACGAGATGCGAGCTCGTTGTACGCGGGAATGAACTGCTTGCAATGTCCACAATACGGAGAGTAGAACTCGATCAGGACGTGTTTAGACTCGTCCAGTACCATGTCATGGAACGTTGTCGCGACTACTTTCTGAAAGTAACAAGGAGTTTGTGGAAAATTGAGATATTGGAATGTAATTTCGCACGTATAACTATAATTCTCATGTAATCCTTACAGAAAATGCTCAAGTTTTTTTGGATCGATCTTAGGACTCCAGGGATACAGATTCACATCAACAAATCTACCTTCACTCGTTTCTTCTGAACTGGAGGTTCGTCTGTCTTGTAAGGTTTACCCTCGATCTTTCCCGACAAAATATCTTCCACGACCTGTGAATATTGTGAGGGTTATAACACATGACATCAGGGACAAAAGGAAATCGCGGCATGTACGGAATCGCGATTTTTCCCATTATTTGCGACAAATTTTAATTTTTATGTATAGTTTAATGTATAGTCTGTTAAAATTCGCGGTATCGTGAATTTTTGGCCAAAATAATCGCGAAATCCTTTTGTCCCCGCATGACATTGAGCGGCAGATCTACACAGATTATAGAACAATCCAAAGGTTCACACAACAACATTGTTATCTGGAGTACCGGGAGGAGACAGCATCTTAAATCACCTGCTTGACATTATCCAGAGAGAATTCCAGCTCCTTGGGTACGGTGTATTCCCAACCCTCCTTAGTAATCACAGTCATAACAACTCCAGTGTCATTGTAACGGTCGTCGGGAGCGTAGTAGTGCGTCATGTTCAGGTTACCCATTGCAAATGTCACCCGTGGACTGTATTCGGAGGCAACTTTCAGAAGTCTGGACAGAGGGAAATAAGGTTATTCAAATTCAATACTGTCACATGTCAAATCAATAGTGTATCTCTTAAGTCATCCGCCAACCTAGAATAGCTTATCATAATGCCTTGCGAGGATGACAGATTCAATGTAATAACACGAACGATCGCATATAATTATATGGGAGGTGTGTAAGGAACGGACGACATCGTTACCTGTTCCTGACATCGTTACCTGTTCCTGACGTAGTTAGTGTGTTTCCTGTTCACATCAAAGTCGACATCAAATGTGGTAATGAGAAGAGGTCGTGAAATCTCAAAATCTTTAGTCGTTTTTTTCGTTATCATACCGACCAAATCAACTCTGTGGAACAGACAAATAAAGTTTATTTCTGATCATGATTAAACGTGATTGTCCATTGGTAAAGTTATTGATATGAGCCTGATTTCAACGCAGAAAAATAAGCAATACTGAAACTCTCGTTCCCCATATACTTATAGTCATGTTGGCCAAAAGTAATGCTATACCTTACCTAGAGGAATGCATGAAGTTCTTGAGGTCGAAAGGTTCACCAGAAAACACTATAGTACTGGATTCCCACTTGTTTCTCAGGAATTCTGGCTGATACGCAATAACTGCACTGAAAATAAGTGGTCAAATTAGTTATCACCACCGCATAATCACTTTTTATGCAGGAATGAGAAATTGCTTTATAATATGCTACTTTTCAATTGAAATACATCATGCAGATCTAACTAACTTAGTTTGTCCAAGTTTCTTCAAAAGTTTAGGATCCTGTACGAGTGCGAACTTGAAGAATTCTCGTGATTCTTCAGCTAGTTTCAAAAACTCATTTGCCAGATCTGTTTCTTCGGCAAAAGCTCCTGTGAATAGAAAGCACAATTAATAATTACAGGACAGGATATTGCTGTAAAGTGTGAATTCTACTGATTGAAGACGTGATCGAGTGAAAAACGTAAGTCCTGTCATCTTTAGTTGATTCCGAAAACGGAGGCACCGGATAGCACACTGCACAGTCACACTGCACAGTCACTTGCTCAGTGCGTTCAAGTGCAGAAATAGAATAACAATGTTGACACTTTACAAGTCACTTATCCGAAGTCATTTAGAGTACTGCTGCCCTCTGTGGAATACCAGTAAAATCTCAGACATCCAACAGATTGAAGGAGTACAGCGTACTTTCACCTCAAGGATTTGGGGTGTTCAACATCTTGACTATTGGCAGCGGCTCAAAGCACTAAATCTAATGTCGATGCAAAGGAGGAGAGAGCGTTATATTATCATCCACATGTGGAAAATCTTACATCAACGCTGCCCAAATGACCTTGGGATTCTTTTTTCTACTCCATCAAGACACGGAATCAAGGCCACCATTCCAAGTCTCAGCAAGAGCAGTACTCAACGTCAACAGTCATTGTATGATGGTTCATTTGCAGTAATGGGGCCACGTTTATGGAACACCATTCCATCAGATCTTCACCTCATTGAAGACCCACTGCTGTTCAAAGCAAAACTATCAGCATTTCTTAAACCGTTTCCAGATAACCCACCTGTGAGCAATTACAGCTGCCCTAATGGAAATTCTTTGCTGGACTGGAGTATGAATAAGGCAGCAGCGATGCTGCAAGGGCGGTCGAACTATTCGATGACCCAGTAGAGGAATCTACGAATCTTTCCAAAGTATCCAAAGTAAAGTACTTATCAGTTTGGAAACACTCGCCAAATTGAATAATTAAAAGAGTCTTACCGACAAACATATACTCAGGATCGCTGACTGTGAACTTGTTCAGCTCCTCCTCTGAATCTATTGCTTTAGCGTGGTCTCCAAGCATGTTCAGAGCGTAGCGCACCAAATCCTCTGCAACATTATTTAGTTTAAGACTTACATAAATATATCAAATCAGCTGTACTGTAAAGTCCCTCTACAATTTCGATCAGTTTTATTCAGAAAATAAATATTAGGTTTGACGATAAGGACCTGTATTTCGAATAACCTATTTCAATTTCATTTCTCGGTGCGATAAGCAAATAACTTGATATAATGGACTCACTAGGCGTTCTCTCCCCGTAGTACCTCCTCTCCTCTACTCCATTCCTGTACAGTTTTAGGGTAGGGTAAATATCCGCATTGGCGTGGTGACAGGTGTGGTATCCTGGCCCGTCACAGTTTACCTGAAAAAATAGTTAGAGATTAAAGGAAATTAAAACTGTCATGATTTAGAATGCTGTTGAAATAGAAACTTTCAAATATGTACAATGATCAATATTGCAATTGGTAAGTTTCAATAATTTTAAATATGATTTTAGACGTATAGATACTAAGTAAAGCGTTAGGTACGAATTGCAAGTATAGGCAGATTAGAGTTTAGTGATAACCTTTACGGTGCCATGTTATCAAAAATAAACTGTCTGCTGATAACCAATAGTACCATACAATATGGTCAATTACCTTGACAAATGTAACCGGGATATCATTTGTTGTCAAAACTTTTGCTGCTTTTTCAAAATCGGGAGTTAATCGTTTGCAATGCGGACACCAAGGTGCGATGAACTCAACGAAAGCGGTATCAAACTTTTTCATTTCAGCGTTGAAGCTATCATCTGTCAATTCTACAACTTTGCTGTCAATCCCATAGATAAACCCCTGAAATAATATTCAGATTTCAATAGCTATAAAAGTTTAAGGAAACTACTCTAGTCTTGGAACATAAATATCAAATATATATAAGTGTTACTTTACAGTTAAATTCTAAACAATGATCACTAATCAGATCAAAAGTGTGGGGGTTTTACCTCGACAGTATCCAGAAGTCTGTCGATGTCATCTTTACAAGAGATCGAGCACAACAAAACCAGGAAACAAATAGCTCGCAACATCATAAACCTGATGGGTAATTTGATTAAACCAGGAACCAAGATGTTACAAAATGAAGTCAGGGTCGAGATTCGATAATTTTGCATTTGCGAAGATTTAAGATACGATAGAACCACATCTTAATTCTTGAAGAGCTATTTAAACATCATATCAGAATGATTCAAAATGAACAATCTGCATTGATAACACGACGAAACCTAAAAAGTGAATTTATATTCATTATTCTATGCTTTTTCTTAAATATTAAGACGCAGCAAACACAATTCGCCCAGCGCAAGACTTAAAAGGTATAGAAGAAATACATTGTATTTGCGTGTACAAGGGCGGGATGCATTGCGCGCGCATTTCGCGCGAAATTACACACGTGCAATAGATTATAATACCATAACAGGTTATAAGAACAGAATACCTTAATAGAACTATTTACTTAACTCAGCTCAATACAAAAACTCCAATTATAATAGGCAGGTTGAAACATTTAAAAGAATACGTTTGTAACGAACAATCTCATGGAGCCGTAGTCCGAACTACCAATTGGAAATTCATAATCTCAAGGAGGCAGTGCTGAGTGCTGGAACATTATATATCAGCTTTGAACGTGATTTAAAGAAGTTCGAGGCAACAACGTGAACACATTTTACATGTATAGTGTATACACTAATAAAACAAACATGTACATTAATTAATAGTCATAAACATTGCATTGCTAGACAGGCATGAGTCAACAACGGAAATATCCCACATAGTCAGTGTAATAAGCGCCAAGCGCGAGCACAGAACTTTTTTTCTCCTATTTCGATAAATTTGGTACCAAAAGTTGTCTAAAAATGTGAATAAAATAAATCCACCGTGTAGCAATTTTCGCTAAAAATGCTACACGGCGCTTGTTCGCCGCGCGTGCTTTTTTTGCGCAAATTTTTGGTTTTTGGCCTATAACTTTCACATTTTCAGTTATTATCACGTAATTATTATGGCATCGTAATAAACTCATCGAGACGAAACTTTTGGTACTAATATTTTAAGATTTAAAGGAAAATTATTGTCAAAAATTTTTAATCTGAACACAAGGGTCCCCCCTTGTGTGAAATTTTGACCAAATTTTTGAAAATTTTTGTGCTTCAAATATTATAATTTGCGTACTAAAAGTTGCGTCTGACTAAGCTCATTACGATCCTGTATGAATTATTTCAAAATATTCAATATGTTAGGAGTTATAGGCATTTTAAGCAATAAATTACCCATTTTTCGTCCTTTGTACACTCTTGCGATGCACAAAAGGCCCACATACAGCTCGACGTTATCGTGCTACACGGTGAATTTTCATTATTCACACATTGAGGCAACTTTTGGTACCAAATTTATCAAAATCAGAGACAAAAAATTCTGTGCCAGCTCATGGCGCTTATTACATACTTACATAGACTAACAAGTCACGACTTAATGATGCCACTGCTAAAAGTTAACAGCGAGTAAAAAATCAGCAAGTCTTAGAAAGAAACAGGTGGCTAAGCTAGGCCTATTGGTTGATCGAGAAACTCGTTATACCTGTACAACCTCCGAGATATTTAGCAAATAATTAGACCCAGCAGTCAGCACCATAAAAGATGACACAAGGGGAAGCACCAAAGTTAAACTAGAACGAAACGAACAATGCAGATAAAACAAAAAGTTTCTTAAAAAGTGGGCCACGTAAAGAACATAGCTGTAGTGATGTGGCAAGAAGAGAGAGGTCCACGCTGCCTAGCACCACACCACGTGACACCACCAACTCAGCTGGTCAAACAAAGGAGCACACTTTATTAGGACACGTGTTCATTTCTCCAGATACAAGCCCTGGACCCCTCATTTCCGTCTACCCACACCCCGTCATTGTTAGCACCCTGGTTATCACGGAGGGAACTGATCCCGGGTCTGGGTTCAGGGGGTTAATCCGACACTAGTTACCTGGTGGTATCGTATCCAACAATATCACGTGTTTAAAACAGTGTTTCACGTGGCTGGGTCGAGTTACACGCCTTGTTAATAATTGCACCTTCTGGTTAATTTGATGGCTTTTGTTTAGGGGGACTACTATAACGGTGGTGTCAGAAGGCATGTAACAAGTACCAGGTCAAATATTGGACACGTTGTGGTGGAACATGTTTAAAGACACGTTGTGGAGCGACTGTCTTTAACAAGTCGCGCTTTGTTCTCATTACAATGACCTCTAATTACTAGTACCCTAATATTAACGGATAGTAATTATTCATTTATTAACCATGACAACATGGTTAATGGCAGATAAGTCCCCACCTCCGTGGTATGAGGCGGAGTCCGCCTCATAATGACCTACACCTTTATATAGATGTAATATTATATAAATATAAGTCCCCTTCTCCTCTTTTAGGAACTAACTCATCCGTTAATACCTCTAATCCTCTCCAGTCTCCAATTATATAACTCTAAGTCTCTACAAAATTAATGGATGTTGCGTCACTATCAGGGGTGTAGGAAGGGGGGGGGGGGGGGGGGGGGCAGGGGGGAGACCACCCTAACTGCAGTCTAGCTGCACGATAGTTGCCGATTTATAAAATTCAGAAAACATTGCATGAACCATGGAAATCTGTTAATTTATATTACATACTCCGATATTACATGTCAAGATTCATCAGAAGTTCAGGAACCTAGCGATTATAAAATTCAGATAATATAACTGATTACTCTTTTATGCCGTGTTCAGTATTTTCAATACCAGAATTTTTCAATGAACCAGAAATCTGTTAATTTATATTACATATTCTGATATTAAACGGGTAGCTGATTTTGAAAGAAAGAAAAAAATAGCGTGATCCGGCGTGATCAATTATTGTAATTGAAGTACAGTGGCTGCAACTTAATAAGAGACGTATATAATTATATTAGGACATTTTTTAATTTGATAAAATTTAAGGTTTTGGTACGGTGTGTGAATTGAAGGTCTTTAAAACAAAGGATTGATCAGTAAACTAGCAGGACACAGTTTGCCCCTTAGCTAGAATTCGTTCCTTAAAACAAATTTACAAGAATTGTTCCAGTTTTCCCTCCTTGCATGTTGTACCCTCTTTGAGAGTGAGACCTATTACTGTAAGCATATTTTTCAAAATTTGCCGGACTTTTCCTTTGACCCTTAATTAAATTGGCACAACAAAATCTTCATGGATTTATCATTTCACTTAATTTGCGAGAATGCAATATGCATCCCTTTTTCGAACTAAACTTATTTCTCAAGAGCTGCTTGCAGGCCCTAATACTCTAATATGCATTTGCATTTAAAATCGTATTATTTTAATCGTTCTTGAAACTGTGTTTGAAAATTATCTCTATTGCCAAATTGCTCAGCTAGGCCTTTTACAGGTTTTGCTGTTTTTGAAATTCAGGCTGTGGCCAAAGCGCGTGCTAAATTTGAAAAACGCTAAGATTTTGGCCCCCTCATGAAGAAAATAATTCCTACATAACACCCCTGGTCACTATGGACAAATGATATAAACATTTCACTGCACCGGTGTAATGTGGTACTAAATGAACCAACTAATTGTATATTTGTACAGACATGCAGTTACCCTGTACATACCGCGCGGGATCCGGTTTCCACTTTCCAGTTCCACCATGGTGGTACTTCCTTTAGCAAGTAAATACAATTTCATGTGTCTGCAACCTGAGAAAAAAAAGTGTTTTAAGCAAATGATTACTGGAAATTGTATAATAACTGGCCCCTGACTAAATATTATAGTAAATAATATTTACTAAATAATCATCATGATTTGCTACAGTTCGATATAAATATGAGGTGATTAGCTACGATTTGTTATGGTCATCTCCGCCTACCCTGATAAATAGAAACTATTTACTATTTAGCCACGAAGCATATCCAGGTTCCAAGTTATGTAGATTGAAGGAAGATGGAAGCTGGTTTTACAGATGACCTGTCTAATATCACGCGAACTCGAGTCTCTGGCTGGGCTTCCATTGGCTTATTATGTAGCATTATTAAAATATTCTTTATAACTACTTCCGGGAATTATATGCACTAAAACTCGTGGACAATGAGAGCTGATAATTTGCAGATATTTCCCGCAAGGAACAGACGGTATTATCAGCACATATTGAGAGTCACCTCAGACTAGCTCTCAGTGTCGACGAGTTTTAGTGCATATAATTCCCGGAAATAATAACAATAATACCTTCGCTTCTTCGGGCCGCAAATTCCCTCCAGCAAGCTGTCGGGAATTATCACGCGTAGCCCTCAGGCTCAAAAGCGAAGGTATTATTGTATTATAATATCGGGATATCATAATGCTTTTATCACTATATCTTTCCATCACCTTGGCTAAAATCTCACATATAGAAGCCATACAGATGATAAGTTTGATAACTGTCGTCCTGCCCGAAAATCCCAAAAGTAACCAATAGAAATTTGCTAGTATTATTGAGGACTGCACCTATAAATCTACCATCTTCTATTTATTCATGATTATTTTTATCTCCAATTGTTCAATATTTCCTGGTAAGCTCGACAGTTATACCAAGAAGCTAAGCTCCGTGAAACATGTTCTATTCGTCTATCTCGTCTTATTAACTCTGCTCATAGCACCTTGTCGTGTTAGCTGCTTTTCCCTGAGTTCGTTTTCTGAATTTACACTTACAGCACTCAAGTTTACCCAGATCAAGTTTACCTATCTCAAATTGTAAAATTAATCCTTGTTACTTTTAAAAATCTCCCGCTAATTTGTGACTGTTTGATAGGACACCAAGACACCCGATTCACAGTAGTCAGTAAGTGAAACATGTCTGCCAATCTCCTCTTCATAACTCTGCTGGTTGCAACCTCTCGCGTTTCTTCTGATATATTGTCGACGTTCAAAGTACTCCGGTTTACTCAGGAACCAAGTAGTTATATACAATTCAACCCAGATTTCAGCCAGTACACACAAGCCATCTCAATATGTGGATGGATCAAGTCTCTTGGATCTGCTACCTACCCTACAGTCTTTTACTATGGTAGCTTTAGTAACGCTGAGCTGACAATGCTGGATGATGGAGGTTACATCTGTATATTTGATTCCTGTATGCAATTGAAGGGCAAGTTCACAGTGAGTAAGAACACGTGGTTTCACACGTGTGTTACATGGGGGGCCTCGTCCCGCTCTCACAAGTACTACGTGAACGGGCAGATGTTGGGTTCCCAGCAGACTCCATCTGGCAGGTTACTGAAAACCGGACAAACACTCACACTGGGAAACTGGAGAGGAGACGAGAGTAACAAAGAGTTCGGAGGAGAAATGGTTAACCTTAACTTCTACGCTAAAGAACTGACAGCCAGTGAAGTAAAGACAATGGCAGATGATGGGATGTGTATCAACATGGTTGTGGATCAGCACGAGGAGGTCCGTCTTTTGAAGTGGGAGGAAATATTCAAGCAGCCGAGGAGCGGGACTATCACTGAAGTAGACATGACAGGAACATGTGCTGCTTCGGTAAATACGCTTTATTCGCAACTGATGGAGGCAAAAACTAAGCTAAACGAGACTGCTGAGAAGCTTCTGGAAGTTTCAACAAGACTTAATGAGACAGAGAAAGGACTGGACAGAGCAGTGAAAGAGCTGGAGAAGTACAACAACACCAAGAACAAATGGGATTGGAACATCTTTCTTTCTGAGCAGTTTATCAACCAGACAGTCTCCCCTGAACAATCAGAGCAGATCCGGACTAGTTGGGATGATATTGCACGTGAGATTTATATTCAACTTAATATTAATTGTTATTATCATATTATCATTATAAACTTTATTTCAATAGTAAACTGAATATGATATATGATATTTTGTTATCAAAATTAACTGTATTTCAGAGAAACTGGTAGGGTTCACAATAACAGAAGATCTGATAAAATTCTGGAAAATCGTAGACTGTGTTGAAACTGAAGGTAGGCCCTGGTTCATGCTCCAATCTGAAGATTACCTGAACCAAGTCCTGACACAAGATCTGGCTCAGCAACTTACTTCCACCTGGGACGGAGTTAGTGGTATGGAAATCGTATTTTATAGGGAATATATTATACAATTAGAATTTATAATTCTTGATTTTACCTTGGTTGAATTAGTGTACTAGAGATTTGGTAAATTGCATGATTCTCGTTGGATAAGACCCTGTTGTTTCAGCTGATAATTCCCTAATACCTTTTTAATTACAGAAAGAATTGCTGGCGTTACCATGACCAAGGAGTTAGTGGATCTTCTGAATTACGTATCCGAGGAAACTAATTGTTACTGTGGTGACTGATATTGTGTCACGTGTTGTACACTTTAGACGAGGAACAATCTGAACAATTTATAATGTGAAACTGGAAACTCAGCTAATTAAATTATTTACACTTTACTTATATGATTCGGATAATTTTAAACAATCTTTTAATGTACTTAAAGCGATCGAAAACCTTTATTTAATCCTGAATTCGGTTTTTTGTTCTAAAAGATTAAAGTTGTCTTTAGTATTGTAAAGCTAGATTGATTTGGTGTTTTTAACTGATAAAAGTTTATTGCATCTTATTTTATTTCCAAGGATTTAATACGTTAAATTTTCGATTAATCCTATGATTTGGGGACATGGGAATTGGGAATGTTTATGAATGTAGTGTCTTTCTTTACTACAATATGTTCATTATTACTTTAATTAGTGAAATTACGACAGGCTTGGAACAGTTACTCCGCGAACTTTATCAAATTGACTTGAATTTTTTACAAAACTATGTGTATACATCAATATTCAAAATATGAACGATTTCTTAATATGATCTTGTTTTTTTTTCACTTAGGATGAATAAATGATAATTATCAAAGCGAACAAAAAAGTTTGAATCGGTGATCATAACGGCTGAACGGTTCATGAAACCATTCGGAGAAGCAGAGATATAATTATAATCCTACATAAAAATGAAAATTATCATCAATTGAAAAGTGTTCTCTTTAAATTTAATTTGGTAAGATCAGACTAAAGTTGAATCGAGATAAAAATCCAGATTTAGATGACAATACGTCATAAGCATTAAATTTCTGATGAGATAATTTTAAAATCTTCTATTCGCAATTGTTTCAAACAATGCTTAAGTGTTAACAATTTCAATCACGTTTAAAACTTAATTACATCACAAAACGAACATGTTATCTAGCCAATGCTACTGATGACCAAGAGCTGATGATTTGAATTTTAACAAGTAAAATGTAAATTATGCGTAAAATTACGTTTTGATCTCTGTACAAATTTAAAACACATCATTCGGTAACGACTCAACAACGATTGGATAACTTCCCAAGTTTCATATTCACAACATTTTCCTCCTCGCATGTGCACGTATCATCACGAAGACGAGTTTAACTTGTCCGGGGTAACCATATGATCGGCCATAAATAAAGAGTCACGTGACGAGCTCGTAGGATGACACGTGACTTTTGCTGGCAAGCAAGGAAGTTTTTTAGATATTGTAACGCAAGTACAGTTTTAACTGCAGCACATGCCAGCTGCCAGAACGTCCTGAGAATGGTCAAACAAAGGTAAACCATGAATATCTGGGCTGGGTTTCAGGGGAATCATGACAGCGTCACATACTCAGGTTGTTTATCAGCGTGCGTACTCGTGCGTATCTCTGGCGTAAAGACTTGTTACGATAACAGATTGACGAGCAGTATTTAACAGAGATCGTAAGGCGGTCCTGCATGCCATTTCTTCGTCACTGAGCGTACAATTTGTGTGATTTTTGCAGCATGATGAGTATTTCACGGTCAACAGCTAGTTTGGACAAATTTCGTTCGGAGAGCACCGTCGACAAGCTCGGAAGGCTGTCAAAGTCATACAGTTTAACTAATTTGAGCCAACGTAAACGTAGTTCTTCTTCTGAGAAAACTTTTGATAAGGACACTCTCTCGTCACGATCCAAGTTTGTTCGTTTTTAGATCGAGTTTTATTTCACCTAAGGTATTTACATTCATAGATTCATTTTGCCACATTCTCTGTAATTTCGCGATCTTGTCGATTGGATAACCTATCAAATGTTGTGGTCAACGTAGCAAAATCTGTCGTAGAAGTTGTGCAACCATTGTGCCTTGGCATCCGCAGTGCTTCTCAAATACTTAAAAAATCTAACCATGTAAGCATGTACATGTCAGTAGAAATCCAAACTAAGCTAGAGATCTGTCAGGTTAAAGGTGAACAGAAAGAAAGAAAATATAAGAGACAAGACACTTAATCGGCTCTCGAGGAACATCGAACGCGACAGAAACTCAGAACAAGTCTTCTCTAAGGCATACCGTGAAAGGTAACACTATAAAATATAGGATAGTGAAATACAGCGGTTAAAATAAATTCAGTCCAGCAAATGTTTGAGTTTACTATTTCTTTGCACATGTGTATTGTGTACAATATGAAATTAGTTGCTCGTGTTCTTTTATCTTTATATTATGCTAGCGACTTTATAAAAGTAGCAATATAATTGATGAAGCATGATTTTGCGTAAAGAATCGTTCCCTGCATCTCCACAAATTATTTTGCATTGCTTAACTCCAATTCGTTTTTTCTGTCCCTCTAATTTCTGATATAATCTGAGAACAGCCATGTTTCTGGTCGCTAACACGAGTGATGACAGGTGGGAAGGAGTCATGAACCAGACCACATCTCGAACAGAATCCAAAAAGAGGGACTCAGCCGCCCTTTCTGGCAGTGCCGGCAGGACTAGACTGCCTCCCATCTCCAAAGCAACAGCGAGGCAATCAGCTCCAGGTCCCAGAGCTAGGTCCGGGAAACTGGAGGTTACCAACCCTGCACCACGTGCCAGATCAGGGAGGAATGTCAACGAGGAACCAGCAAGACCAGCTCGGTCTGGTAACCGTAAAGATGAGGATGCTCGTAAAAAGTCGGGACGGGTGGAGGAGAGCAACAGAGGAGGACGAGGAGGGAGGAACTTAGCGGGAGCAGTGAATAGGGCAAATCCGGGGAGAGGTGTTGCAGGAACTGTTAACAGAGTTGTGGCTGCTAATAGAGGAGGTAAGATCAGCTTCACATCACTAACATCCGGATTAATAAGTGGCTTGTGAACTTTGAATAATATGCATTTTATTTCAGAAATGTTGAGTGTTTTTTTACTACTATCTAAGTTATGCTGCAGAGTTTTTAACCTTTTAAGGTAGTTGCAAAAACGGGTAATATCACACTCATAAATCTTGCATAATATTAATACATTGAGTGCTCAAAACATGTGAAACTCTGAACCAAACCTACTGATATCTCACATCTCAACAATATGTTCAGCACATAAACGCTCATACACTTATCAGGAGCAGGACACAAGCCTGCAGATGATGTCAAGTTGAACAAGAAGTATGCTGGGGTGGTATGTGAAACATGCAAGTTACAGATACACGAGAAGTTAAAGAGAGGTTACACTAAATACCGGAGCCTGGAGAAGATGAAACCTTGGTATTTTGGTCTTACGATAATTTCATGTTTCTTGAAGTGAAAAGATAAGCCTTCTCTTAAATGTTGATATGTTTTAAATTTAAAACAGTCAAAAATACACTACCTATTCAATTATCCATCGTTAAACTTACTGAACTTCAGTGAAAAGTGCCAGAAGTCAGTGATAGACTTCGACTTCTACAAGATCTGCGTTACTTGTGCTAAGGACCTCCAAGTCTGTGCTAAATGTGCCTGCGGCTCGACACAGTGAGTAACTAAAGTCTTAACCTGCCCATAAAATCTTACGAGCATTCTAATTTAGATACTTACGTCTCATTAGTCATTACAATTCATTTAAATCTGAGGTTTTCCGCAAGAATTTCGTACCCAGTGCGTCATCGAATCCACAAGTAATTAATTTGTATATCAATAACACCGCAAATTTACAATATTGCAATAATAATTGAGCCTGTCTCGAACACCTACTAACAATGTTGAAACCAGGATTTCGGGAGAACGGTTTGTGGAGGTAGTAAGACATGGGGTGACAGAAAACATACTATCGATGAATGATAGGGAACTCAGTAAGTAATGCGAATTAGCGACACTATTCCTACATTATCCTCTTACTATTTGAAATTCTTAAATCGGTCGGGCCTTCTTTTATTGAATCGGCTCATAAAGGATCATGGGGGCTTTGATTGAGAAAAAGGCTTCGATTGAGAATATTCTCGCTGTAGATAATAATTTAACTTTAGAACCAACATTTATCGAACTGATGCAGGTCAATTTGCGAAGAAGCACGCAAAGATTGGTATAGTTGAGCAACAAATAGAAATGATAGAAGATGAAGCGTCAGACCAACCTGCTCTCACAACACGAACTCCCTCGGCTAGATCCTCCAAATCTAGAGCGACCTCGTCAGCGAAATCAAAGAAAGGCTCTAATCAGTCGCCTAAGCAGATTGAGGCGAAGTTAAAAATGGAGGAACCGCTTAATGTTTCCACTTCAAAATCTAAAAAGGTATTCGATTTGAACAATATTTCGTATGTACTTCGAAAAATGTCACTACGACTTTAAACAAGCAAAAAGGTTCATGACCTGCAGTCTTTTTCCTTTGTCCTTTTTCCTTTGTCTTATTTGAATTTCCTAGTATAATACAGAGTAATTTTATTTAAAGAACTGGTAATTAAATCCAACTTTTTAAAGTACGTGGTCCTCAGTTCAGGCTTGTAAAAATCGTTTTCAAAAATTAGTCTGTATTGAGCTGTGAAATAACGCCATGGGTGATGAATAAAAATCTGGACTGCGCGGAAATCAATAATCTGTCCCGTGTGAACGAGCATTCCAAAAATACCGGGGAGGTTATCTAAAAGTTATCTGGTGAAAAATTTCAGTTGTCAGCAAGAACAGCGCCGAAATAATTTAGTACAGTTTCCTGAAAGATGGAAACACCGCTACAACTCTACAACGATTGGATATGTATGACAGATCATCATTTAATGGACCATCAAGGCTTTCCTAAGTCCATTATGTACAATGTCTTAAGTCAGTGTAAACGTCTGAACGTATAGAGCGCAAGAGAGGGAACTGGACCGGAGAAAAAGAGGGGCTCAGAAGAGAGAAGTAAATCATAAAACTAACATTTCTGGATGAGAGCTTGCAGTGTGATCCGGCTGTGTCCAGTCGCATATTTCTGGAACTATTAAAAGACTCAGAATCATGTTTCAGAAATGGTCGCATATTTCTGGAACTATCAAAAGACTCAAAATCATGCTTCGAAAATGATGAAAAGTGCTAAAATACATAGGAACAACGCTGTATAATTCGCCAGAGCAGCAGTTTCTGTTTTGGGGAGAAGATTTCGGGCGTACATCGAAATAATCCAGTACTAGCGACTTCGACTGCACAAGCTATGACGAGAAAAAGATTCTTCGAGCGTACAAGCTGGGGATTTCCGAACTTTAACATTGATTGTTAATGTTTTTAAAATTTTTCAAAGAACCTGTTTATTTTATTGAAAATGTCAAAATTTTAAATTCAACTAATTTAAAGCGATAATGAACTTAGACCAGATTTTTATGCATCACCCTGTTAATACGATAGGCGACAGCTCTAATCTGTAACTTAATGCTCGGGAAGCATGAACTTAATAATTTCGAATTAGATTAAAAACCAAGTATTCACATATTCAAACCGTGCAGGTATCCAAAACTACTCGGTCAATGACATCCTCATCGAGTCCACTGATTGGAGAAAGTGAAAACGAAGCCTGTCTCAGCAGTACAGAATCAGACGAGGCATACGGGTCGGGACACATTTCATCAGTTTCTGACGTAAAAACAGTTCGATCAGCTACAACTCGATCAGCCACAAGAGTAAGCTTCTAAGTTAAAACCTTGCAGTTTGAGACTTAGAGTGAAATTGTGAATTTTTCAAGACATATCATCCTTCTACATCATTTGTTAGGATTCTTAAAAGATTACAATTAAATTGAGGTCGTTTAAAATTTAATCGTTATTATTTCAGAGTAACCGGTCGAGACATAAATCAAGTGAGATTTTGAGACAGATCAGATCTCTGACAAGTTTACAAGTAATATCACCGTCCTCAGCACAGTCCGTCATCAGAGAAATAAGGTAATTCTAAATTATAAGACTCAAAACTCCTTACTTTAAAATTTAAATATTCAATGACAAACTGCTCGGGAGAATTCTACTTTTCATAACAATTATTCATGAAAGTTCTACTTATCATAATTCTAGTAACAGTGTGAAAATCATCTATAAACCACTAAAAACATCACAACTGCAGGTCACTAACGGAGATGGAATGTTATGATGACGATAACAAATCTCCAGAAGGAGAAAGACGCACACCCAACACCCCGGGCAAGGCAGACCACACCCCAGTCGCCTCCCCACAACCCAGTTACACTCCCTTCAGTGCCACCTCCGATAAATCAAACCTGCACGAGGACAGAGAACTGACGGAGTACATGAACAGTTGCAGTCGAACCCCCAACTTTCCTCCAATCACTATAACAGGTACAGTGAACCAGGCATCACATTCACATCCTCAGCTGGAACCGAGCCAAGTATCGGCGGACCTCCAACAAGAAGTGAGGGAGTATTCCCCCTCACCACCAGTAGTAACGATAACTACCCTCACTAAAGAGAGTGGCGGAGACGAATCCAGTGGAGATTCCAGTGATGACAGTGCAACTGAAGAACACAGTGATAGTACGTTTGAGGGGGTACAGTTAGATAACATAACCCAAAATAAGGAAGAAGAATACATTGTTAGCGAAGATGCCACGAACGTAGAAACCGGAAATAATGATGGTGAAGAAAGTATAGATGATGAAGCTGAAACGGTTACAGATGAAACGGAAAGTATTGCCGAGGTCGTAGAGCACGTGTCACAAGAACAAACTGCAGGAGTCCCTGGAACTGGAGGAGTCCCTGAACCAGCTGATGAAGATACAGCGTCACAGCTGGCTGACATTGAAGTAACCTCTACTAACGAGTCTTTACAATTACTAGACTCTGTAACTGTACCTCCTCACAACCAGAAGCCTGATGAAAGGGACGATGAAAATAATTCCTCCGAGGTGGCAGTGGAGGTTGAGGCTGATGAGTATGCACCAGTCGAAGTGATGGAGACTGAGACAGAAACCGGTTTATCATGAGGAGGTTCTAGAAATTCATATTCCCGTCGAATATGAGACCTTTGAAGAACCAGCACACGAACTTGCTAGTGACGATGTAAAGGGAAGCAACACTAACGAAGAGATATTAGATGCGGATTCGCGACAAACGCTCGCAGAATCCGAAGATATCTATGAAGACACTGCTGCTACAGTAATTGAGGAAAGCCGTAAATTAAAAAGGGAAACAAACAACAACGAGCTGGTAATGATAGAAGATGTCCTTGAAGATGAGACGTCTCCTGAGCCGATATTTTCCAAAGAGGATCATACAAAAAGTGCAGATATTCTAAGAGAGGACATCCTGGAGACTATAGAAAGTGTTACTGACGTTAATGAATCTTCTGAAAAAGAGGAGGTGACTGAAATTGTCACAACAGAAAATCAGGAAATTGATGATTCAAAGGTTAATGAGATTGTAGCGGCTGAGAGCCGACAAGTTGATGACGTTCGAGTCGAGGACGTGGACGATGAACACTTCCTGAGTATCGACCAGAACATCAGAACAACCGAAGTAAAGAAACTCATGGCAGAAGAATTGGCCGAGGATTCCAGTGACACGACTGATGAGGCGAGGCTCTCATCAGAACTGGAAACCTTTATGGGAGACACACCCAAAAGTATTGATAGCAGCGAGATAGTCCACGCAACCACCAATCCAGGTCTCAGGACCCTTCCAGCACAGAAGTCCAGGTATCCAGCAGTGCGTCCGACCTAGAACAACAAGCAGATGAAAACAGCGAGGATTCTACTCCCAGAAGTCGGAAACCAGTCTTTGAAAGACAGATTTCCGAGAATGCCGACGAGAAAGAATCTGGATCTGTTTTGGATACGGTTGGACAGAACTTTGAAGATTTCAGCCAATTTTATCAGAACCACGCATTTGACATCGTAGAGGTAAGTGTCTGACTGATCCGCTCAGTGATTTACAAATTAATAAATAGGGTGGGTTATTTTAGCCCGAAATTAAACAAGGAGTAATGATCCATGACAAATATCAAGTCTCACCTCATCATAAACAACTGTAAAGTTAAGAGTAGATACAGTGATTTACACGCTCTCTACCCAAAATTATCCTTGAAATCAGTAAAATATGAGACAATGCAGCTCCAAGATCTGAAAGTTTCAAAGAATTATATTTAGTATTAGTACTTAGTAATATTTATCGTTATTACGCATTTAAATAACATGGACCACAAAGGTCACGTTACCGGAAGGCCTGAAACTCAGCGGTAACTGAGTGTTATCTGAGTGTTTACTGAGTGTTTACTGAGTGTTTGCCGTCTGAGTGTTTGCCGTCACATACAGTAAAGAACTGTTCCCCAGATCCACAAGAATACTAGTCCAGAAGAGATCCTGTACGAGGAAGAGGAGCAACAGGACTACTACGACCAGTGCTATGACCAGTACCAGTATAACGTTAGACTACGGATACGACTAGAAGATATCCCTGAGGAGGGTACTCTCTCCAAGGAGTCAACCTACCTCAGTAGACCCTTCACTGACACCATGGACACCCTGGAAAAGGAAGATACTGTGGTAGATAGAGAGGAATCTAGCTCTGAACGAGGAGAGAAGGTGCTGAAAAACGTGGAGGTACCAGAGAAGGATGACTCTGTCGTAGAGAAAGAAGAGTCTTCACTTGACAAAGAGGACGATCTTGATAGAGAAACTTCGATGGTTGTAAATGATATTGTAAACTGTGCTCTGATAAGAGCTTCACTCTCTCTAATGGATGAAAAACAATGACAATACCCACAATAGTTGGAAGGTTTGCCTTGATAAGGACAATAATAGGGACTGACGTCAAAATAGAAACGTGGAGAGCTTGTTACCTAGATTCAGCGAGATGATGACAGAAGATTTAGGGAGTTAGTCATTGTGCTACGAAACTATTGATTGATAGGAGAATGAAGAACGCTGTAGGGAGGCAATGCTTACAGATTCAGACAAAACGATCAATTTCGCCTTCTGAAAAGACTTGAGAATGGAAAGTTTTAAGATGAAAGATTTAGATATGCTTTTGTTAGAGAATATGACTTTGTTTTATTCTTTTGAAGTTAAGTATCACTTCAATGATTGGAATGTTTCAGATTTTTTACAGTATGTGGTTTTAACAAATTTGTATTCACAAATTTTCGAGAATAAATCAAAGCTGATTCATATTGTTTTCACGAAGAATTTTAAACCTTAGAGTTTGTATTCTGTATTGTGTCTGGTTGTCAGTTTATATCGTGTATGATATCCAAACTTATTAAAACATCAGCCGGAATATTCTTTCACAAAGTTTGTTTGAGTTTCTTTGTCTTGAAGTCTGCAACAATTATCTCAAATAAGGGCACATAACGAATGGTCCACACTCCACAGTCGATAAGCTTTAACACAAATAACTTCTCACGTGGCGTCAATAGTTACTCCTCTGGGGCTCCTCTGGGGCTTATCTGATAGTGGTCACTAAGAAGGAAGAGGAACTGATACTCTCATCGGCTTCAGATCTCAGAAATTGTGGCAATACTCTCCTCAGGAATCTGAAGTAGATCTAAATGTGTGAAGAGAATATTCTATAATTAATGTTAAAAATGCGGAAAACTATCAAAAGTAAAGAAATTACTCAAATGCAGATTACTGCGAAATAAATTGTATGATAGTAAATTTGTTATCCTTTTGTGTAAGTTATTAAACAATTATAACAAAATGTGACACTCTTAAACCAGTACAACACCCTTCATCAAACATCCAAACAACATTCTGCAAATTGTACCCAACATCCAATACCCACATATCCAAATTAAACAAGCTCTGTATTATAACATCATTAACTAAATAAAATTAGACAAATCCACGTATTTTATTACCTTGACTCTTTCACTGTTAACTTTGACGGTGTACTTCATGGGATTGTTTCTACGTTTGAAAGTGGAACCCTGCACTTCATGCCAAATACCACTTATCAGAATCCTGAGAGAGTTGAATTGGGTAAACTTTGTGATGTAAGCTAAATCAGAGTCAATCAGATATGAGAATATAAAGGATCACTTGTTTTATTTTTTCCCAATTTATCAAAATATCTTCATCGGCTAAAGTAAATATTTAGTTGGTTTACTGCAGCTTTCTGGAAATTAATGATGGGGGGGGGTCCAACCCGATCATTTCCGATCATTCCGATCCCGATTTTGGCCTCATCAACCCTCATATCGGAAAAATCGGGAAAATTTAAATCTTTCCTCTGAGGTTTCTAGGCGATATATGTAGCTATTTCTGTACTTAAATATGACAAGAAATCGATTGGTGGTGGTCCCAGAACCCCAAAATGGTTTCTAGTTCCAAACAAGAATCGTTTCGTCCGAAAAACAACACACTGTCGTATCAACTCTTGTTTGACAGAAACATCCACCCCGGTCCACAATTGAAAGAGGTACGGTTGGTAATAACAATAGTAACAAATAGGGAACGCTTTAGTAACTTTTGATTTAAATTGTCTCCACAATTTGTAACAGGCTATCTGCAGAAATGGGTAGCACGGTTAATGACCATTGACCATGGTCCTTTCTCAAACTTCCAATCCTCAGTTAGATACAAAGAATAGTCTACACAATTTTAAATAACATTAAAAGAGAGGAGGAAGAGAAGGAGGAAGACTGAGGAGGAGGAGGACTGACGAGGAGGAGAAGGACCGAGAAGGACAGAGGAGGAGGAGGAGGACTGAGAGGAGGAGGACTGAAGAGGAGAGGGAGGACTGAGGAAGAGGAGCAGGATTGGTGAGGAGGAAGAGGAGGACTGAGGACGGGGAGGAGGAGGACTAAGAGAACGCGAGGGCTAAGGACGAAAAGGACTGAGGACGAGGACGAGAGCGAGGACTGAGAGGAGGACTGATAAGAAAGAGAAGGAGGAGGAGGAGGAGGACTGAGGATGAGGAGGAGGAGAAGGAGGACTGGGGGAGGACTGAGGAGGAGGACTGAGGACTGAGGAGAAGGAGGACTGAGGAGGACAGAGGAGGACCAGGACGAGGACTAGGAGGATGAGGACGAGGACTAAGGACGAGGACTAGGAGGATGAGGACGAGGACTAAGGACGATGAGGATGAGGACGATGACTAAGGACATGAAGAGGACGACTGAGGAGGAGGACTGATTAGGAGGAGAAGGAAGAGGAGAAGGAGGAGGAGGGTGAGGAGGAGAACTGAGGAGGAGGAGGAGGAGAAGGAGGAAGACTGAGGAGAAAGAGGAGGACTGGGGAGGAGGAGAAGGACCGAGGAGGACTGAGGAGGAGGAGAAGGACCGAGGAGGACTGAGGAGGAGGAGGACTGAGGAGGAGGAGCAGCTGATTGGTGAGGAGGAGGAGGACTAAGGAGGAGGAGGACTGAGGAGGAGGACGAGAGCGAGGACGAGGAGGAAGACTGAAGAGGAGGACTGATAAGAAGGAGAAGGACGAGGACTGAGGAGGAGGACTGATGATGAGGAGGAGGAGAAGGAGGACTGGGGGAGGACTGAGGAAGAGGAGGACTTGGGGAGGACTGAGGAGGAGGAGGACTGGGGGAGGACTGAGGAGGATGATGAGGAGGAGGACTGAGGATGAGAAGGAGGAGAAGGAGGACTGGCGGAGGACTGATGAGGAGGTGGACTGGGGGAGGAGGACTTAGGAATAGGAGGAGAAGGAGGAGAAGGAGGAAAAGGAGGAGAAGGAGGAGGAGGACTGAGGAGGAGGAGGAGGACTTAGGAGTAGGAGGAGAATAAGGAGAAGGAGAAGGAGGACTGAGGAGGAGAAGGAGGAGGACTGAGGAGGAGAAGGACTGAGGAGGAGGACGAGGAGGATGAGGACGAGGAGGAGGAGGAGGAGGAGGACTGACGAGTAGGAGGAGGACTGGGGAATGAGGAGGAGGAGGACTGAGGAGGAATAAGATGAGCGCTGAGGAAGAGGACTGAAGAGGATGAGGAAGAGGAGGAGGACTGAGGAGTAGGACTGAGGAGGAGGAGGAGGACTAAGGAGAAGGATGAGGAGGATGAGGAGGAGGAGGAGGACTGAGGACGAAGACTAAGGAGGACGAAGACTAAGGACGAGGACTAGGAGGATGAGGACAAGGGTTAAGGAAGAGGAGGAGGAGGACTGAGGAGGAGGACTGATTAGGAGAAGAAGGAAGAGCCCGAAGAGGAGGATGAGGAGGAGGACTGAGGACGAGGACGACTAGTGTAGGACTGAGGATGAGGACTGATGAGGAGAAGGAGGAGGAGGACTGAGGAGGACGATGAGGAAGAGGAGACTGAGGAGGAGGAGGAGGACTGTTGAGGAGGAGGAGGAGGATGATAAGGAGGAGGACTGAGGAGGACTGAGGAGGAAGACTGAGGAGGACGAGGACGAGGACTAAGGACGAGGAGGAGGAGGAGGACTGATTAGGAGAATAAGAAAGCGGAGAAGGAGGAGGAGGATGAGGCTAGGAGGAGAAGGAGAAGAATGAGGAGGAGGACTGGGGGAGGACTGAGGAGGAGGATAAGGAGGAGGAGGACTAAGGATGAGGATGAGGACGATTGTGAGGAGGACAGAGGATGAGGACTGATGAAGAGGAGAAGGAGGAGGATGAGGAGGAGGAGGACTGTGGAGGACTGAGGAGGATGACTGAGGAGGAGGATGAGGAGGAGGACTCAGAAGGAGGACTCTGGAGGTGGACGAAGATGAGGAGGAGGACTCAGGAGGAGGATGACGACTATGAGGAGGACTCAGGAGGACTGATGGGGAGAAGGAGGAGGAGAAATGAGGAGGAGAAATGAGGAGGAGAAATGAGGAGGAGGAGGAGGAGAAGGAGAAGGAGGAGGACTGGGAGTAGGACTGAGGAGGAGGAGGGGACTGAGTAGCAGGGTGAGGAGGACTGAGGAGAAGGACGAGGACGAGGACGAGGAGTCAGGAAGAGGACTGAAGAGAACTGAGGAGGAGAAGGACTCAGGAGGAGGAGGAAGACTTAGGAGGAGGAGGAGGACTGATGAGAAGGAGGAGGAAGACTAGGGAGGAGGAGGACATGTAAATGTTTTGTCTGTTTTTGTCCGTTTTTGTTCGCCCTACTTTTTTTCCGTTTTGAAAATATAGGGTACCGAACGGACACAAAACATGATCCCCCAGCCAAGCATGTGTTACGATACAAATGTACTTGACTACTACTGGTATACATTTAAGGTGCAGTGTACTAGTGATATCATGGTATGTTTAAAGACCGGACCACAAAATATAACCCGGTACCTAGTGTTGTACTAATACATAATAACAAGTAACAGGGATAAAATTAATGAGCAGAAACAATCCGACAATCGATGTCACGTCAAAAGGCCAAAGCACTCGGGTCTGGGAGTACATGACAACTCCAACTAGTAGTGAGCATACTAATAAGCCCCTGCAGTGGAAAAACACATAAAACATACTATTGGAATGTCCAATTGGTTTGTTTTCTTATAACAATATAGCATATGTAGGGGTTCTGGTTGAATTATATCACTTCTGAGAGGTTTTAGAGATCGATTCTGTAAATTTCTCAATTTTCCGATTTTTCCGATTCCGATTTTGGCCTCATCAACCCTCATATCGGACATCGGGTTGGACCCCCCCCAATGATAGGATTACTTGATAGAACATCACCTGTATCGCTTACTAGCGTGTATATTAAAGTCTCCTATTCTCAGAGTTGAAAAACACAGCATATCTCGCGGTACAACAATCATCGGGGCATCGTCCTGAGTGGAGTATCACTTCAAATCACGTGATAGTCGATATCCTACAAAACTTTATACACATAAGTTGTTGAGAGGCAGTAAAAATTTCATCAGAACTGACCACTTGGTCGTCCAAGAGAAGAGGTGGATTTCTCAAATTCTCAATATTGTTGAAAATAAACAAATATAACTAATTTCACTCACATTACAAAGACATGCATATTGCGGGTAGACGGACCCGTCAGGTCTGAAAATCTGTTTAAGAGGGAAACTTTTGTAGTTGTCAGGTAGGATATTCTCCAGAGGACAAAGAGTTGTGGCGGAGTCACAGCGTTTATCAGTTAAACCAGGTCCTGGCTCCACTGGTGCTGTGAGTGTGAGGTGAGGATCTGGTATTTTGTTGTAGATACGAAGGGGGATGGTTTGAGGTAGTGGACTGCACATGTTGCAGTAGGGACGTTGTGAGGACTGGAGGTTGATGTTAGAACCTGGAGACTGCTCGTGAGGTTGCGGTACTGGAGCCTGGTTATCAGGGAGTGTTGAAGAGTGCGTTTCTGGGACTTGGTTGCAGAGGTTCTGGTTACTTAAGGCAGGTGGAACGGTTAGTGCCGTATTATTTAAGATTCCTTGATTATCTGCAGAGGGAGAATTAGCAAGACGAGTGACATAGTTCTGATGGGAAGGTCTAATGTAAGAAATGTGTTGGGGAATATTGTGGTAATCAGAGGGCAGATGTCTCCATTCTCGAGCAGCAGCAGTTGTCCTATCCGGAGGATTACTGTACACATTTTTGGGTGTAGTCGTGGTTTCGGAGCTATTTAAAGGTATTTGTAGTCCACCTGACATGCTCGCTCCAGGTTGTACAAGTTGCTGTGCAGGGATATTATTGTAGGGGCTCTGGGGACTATTTAGATAATGTAATCTACCTGGGCTATCACTCCATGGCTGATTAATGTACCCAACATTTGGAGATATTTGTTGACCAATATGGTAGCCAGGAGCTTTAAAACCGGGCCCAGATTGCCACTGAGGGACAGATTTACAGAGAATAGGATATCCTGCAGCTGCAGAATCACCGTTCATATTAGGACCGTTCGTGGAGGGTGGTGGGAACTGTTGACTTGCTAGGAGGCAGCCAGTGCATCCAGGAATTCCACCATAGGTGTGGGGTGAAGAGAGTTTGGTACACGGTGGGTTATTAGACCATGTGTTAGGGCATCTTGCCTGTTGAGGAGATGCAGTGTAATTAGGTTCTGATCCGAAGTTATTAGCAGTTAGATGAGGGGCAGTACAAGGGTTCTCTTGTCGAGGAGAATAAGCTTCGTGGTTAAGAAAGGAAGGGGCCATATTGAGATTTTGCATAGAATCGTTTAAACCATCAGAGTTTCCAAGGTTACCGTGATGAGCTCGATCCACCTGGACACTCTGAAACGCTGAAGGGTGACCACTTCCAGGACTGGAAGGCTCCTCTGGTACAGTTGAGACAGCCGGGCTAGGGAACCTGCAGGTAACAGTGTTGAATCTGGAGGAGACTTGACTACTCTCCGTACTAGGTGAGCTGCTGATGTTTGGTACTGAGAGTGGCGTAGAACTGAGCACACTAGAACAAGGTCTCTGTGCAGGGGAGGTTGCTTCGTCAGATCGGGTTACTTGCCCGGGGATACCATTGCTTGGAACAGGAGGAAATTGGAATACTGCAGGCTTGTTATAGTAATTAGGCGCAACTGTAGGTTGAGCAGTGGATTTAGGGTTGCTATAGTAATTAGGAGCAACTGCAGGTTGACCAGGAGATCTAGGGTTGCTATAGTAATTAGGAGCAACTGCAGGTTGACCAGGAGATTTAGGGTTGTTATAGTAGTTAGGAGCAACTGCAGGTTGACCAGGAGATTTAGGGTTGCTGTAATAATTATGAGTAACTGCAGGTTGACCAGGAGATCTAGGGTTGCCATAGTAATTAAGAGCAACTGCAGGTTGACCAGGAGATTTAGGGTTGCTATAGTAATTAGGAGCAACTGCAGGTTGACCAGGAGATTTAGGGATGCTATAGTAATTAGGAGCAACTGTAGGTTGACCAGGAGATTTAGGGATGCTATAGTAATTAGGAGCAACTGTAGGTTGAGCAGTGGATTTAGGGATGCCATAGTAATTAGGAGCAACTGCAGGTTGACCAGGAGATTTAGGGATGCTATAGTAATTAGGAGCAACTGCAGGTTGACCAGGAGATTTAGGGTTGCTATAGTAATTAGGAGCAAGTGTAGGTTGACCAGGAGAATTAGGGTTGCCATAGTAATTAGGAGCAACTGCAGGTTTACCAGGAGAATTAGGGTTGCCATAGTAATTAGGAGCAACTGCAGGTTTACCAGGAGAATTAGGGTTGCCATAGTAATTAGGAGCAACTGCAGGTTTACCAGGAGAATTAGGGTTGCCATAGTAATTAGGAGCAACTGCAGGTTTACCAGGAGAATTAGGGTTGCCATAGTAATTAGGAGCAACTGCAGGTTTACCAGGAGAATTAGGGTTGCCATAGTAATTAGGAGCAACTGCAGGTTTACCAGGAGAATTAGGGTTGCCATAGTAATTAGGAGCAACTGCAGGTTTACCAGGAGAATTAGGGTTGCCATAGTAATTAGGAGCAACTGCAGGTTTACCAGGAGAATTAGGGTTGCCATAGTAATTAGGAGCAACTGCAGGTTGACCAGGAGATTTAGGGTTGCCATAGTAATTAGGAGCAACCGTAGGTTATCCAGGAGATTTAGCGCAAGCGGTATAAGTTGGCGGATGAGACGAACTGTCGAAAGTATCAGAGGCTTGCACTCCTGAGAAAACAGCTGGACTGTCAGCTCCTCTCCCGGCCGTTCTCTCGGGTAACAGAATCATACAGGACTGAAATAGCCTTTTGTCAAACTCTCAGTAATTTTCTGTATACACACTATAGTATTCACTGTTAATTAACTCAAAATAAACGAACCTAATAACAAAACGCAGACATCAGTGACTCACGTTGACAATTTGAGAGAACTGAGGAAGAACCTGAGATCCGCAGAACACAGTCGAGGCTGGTACAGCCGTGTACTTGGTGAAATCAAGTGAACCTCTACTCATTTTGTATAGAAAACCTCGAAATTTTAGGTCACAGAAAAATAATAGTAAACCCGAACGCTATATTCTAGAGTAAACCACACGTCACATGAGAGAAGATAACTTTAGTCAGGTGGAGACTGGATACCTTAAACAGTGATTGGCTCACATTAGAAAACTTTTGTTTACATTTTAGAAAGACAGACCCCATCATCCAATTCAGTTTTTAGAGTACTACGAAACTTGATTGTCAGAGGAATCAGGGAAACACGCAGATCTAAATGTAGTTTAAATCAAAACACTTAATATCGTTATGTTCACAATGAATCCGAAATAAATATTATTTTCTTCGACTTATCAGAAGTAAATGGCGTGTTTTAAAACAAATTATTCGAACAATGCAAATAAAATAGAATTTTGTTAATTTATCTAAATTATTGTTACCGTAACCCAACCATCTTTAAATCTAAAAGGTCAATCATCTGAAAATTAAATTCATCACAAACAAAAATTGAACCGTGTTCAATTTACTGCATATATGAGGGGGAAAAAAGTAAAAATCTCTAAACAAAACCCATAAGACAATTTCAATTAAATTAACATTTTCCATCTAGATCTATCCGAGCCAAACATAAAGTTTTATAATATTGTAAGATTGTTTCTTCCGAACGATTAAGACAAGGGTAATCAGCGATTTATAATGATAACATAAAGTAATGACTTGAATTTAAGCTCTAACAGTAACTCCTAACTCCTAAGCAAGGATTACATACAATTTCGACGAACAAATATATGAACATCATGGATTCTGGATCTCAGCAAAAATAAACAATGATCTTAATTCTTAGTTCTGACGCGATATACCGATAAGAAAACTGTGGCAGTTGTAACGCGTATTGGTGCTAGAAAACCTAAGGACGAAGGTAACTTATAAACTACAAAAGAAGCAAGACAACTAGTCCTCATCCTCCTCCTCGTCACTGTCCGTATCAGTGATCTCACTCTCTGACAAACTATCACTCTCCTCAGAGTCGGATATGTGCTCCCACTGCTTCACTGCCTTCGTCTCTATAGCCTTCTCTACCAGCAGCTTCAACAAAACCTCCTTCTCACAGCTCAGGTACGAGTCACTCTTCAGTATAACATTAAACTTGTGGTGTCCCAGAACTTCGGGTGCCTGGAACTTCAGGATAACTTCCTGTTTGTCCTCCAGACCCGCCACGTATTTGGGAGGTGTGATGACCTCGCCAGTCTTTCTATCCGCAATGAAAACCCACCAGCCCTCCTCCTTGTCGACAGGGAAGAAAGGGCAGTGAACTGGGTGAGAGTCAGCTCCATCACCATCCTTGTTCTTCTTCTTTGTGATTTCTTGTTGTAGGGATCTCCATTCCTCGTCGTCATCGTAGTCCTTGTCACCTCCTCCTGTCGACTCTTCGTCTTCACTGCCTGATTCGTTCTCATCATCAGACCTGGTTTGAGAGCTAAATTTAAAAATAGGATTTCAGCTTTCTATTTACAATATAAATTATTTATAATAATAAATACTAACAAAAGTCGATCATCATTTTTAAATGCGAACTCTTTATAAATTGACCTTGAGTCTTATAAATTCTAAACTGAAACAAATATCAGCTCATACCTGTCTTCAGCGTCTGACTTCTCCCGCTCATCCTCGCTGTCTTCCTCGTTTTCATCGTCAGCTTCCTCCTCTCCCTGTTTTACCAACTGCTTGTTCTCTTCCTCTGAGAAGTTATCGTTGAGACCAATCCGTGGCAAAATGAAATTGAACTTATGGATGCGAAAACTTAAGTAGAAGAAGAACGGTGTAGTTATTGACTACTAGCAAAGAAACTGATTTCATAAACATAAAAACATCCTTCGAAGAGAATGAAAAAAGAAATAAAGCTTGATTACCTGCATTCTCGTTCTCTTTATTTTCCTCACTCTTGCTTTTCTTCTTTTGGGAGACCTTCTTTTTCTTCTGCACATTTTTCTGCTTCTTAGCTTGTTTCTGCCATGATTTTTTCTTGACATCCTTATCTTCTTCATCCTTGAGCGCAAGAACTGGCTCATCGTCATCTAGAATGTCAACCACATCCCTGGAAAATAATAATTCTAAATAAAGTATTATGACGATACACAATTTGCGTTCATTTTTAATTTTCTGTAATTGCTGTCGAGTGTCAACTTAGCAACATCACATGGCGCCTGGCGGAGCGTTTAAAAAAACCAAAAATTACGTATATGCTAAATGAACAAACCTGAGTGACTTCCTGTCCAAGAAGCACGTGACCGTCACAATGGAACCAGCAGAGATAGTCATCGTGTTCTCGTCATCTAAAACCTGGTGTAGGACAGGGTAAACACTACTGGTAATTAACTGAAGTCAACACTCAGCACGGACTTCTATCTTACAAGTTCTACCCGGGGAGGGGAGGGGGGGGGGTCTGCTACACTATTTTAGCAGACCCCCCCCCCCTGTTCTACCCGGTAGTTTGTTAAGCAGACATATGAGATTTCGCTGGTTAAGAATATTTGTGGCAGACGTGTTTCAGTAAAAACTGATCAGGCAAAACTCTCAAAACAATAAGTCTCAAAAAATCTATATAAAACATTGCTAACCTCGCTCTTGACTTCCATATCAATATGTGGCATCTCCCAGCAGACCCTCATCATATTATCATACTCCTCTTCCCCCAACATCCTCAGCCTACTCCTCCTATCAGCGTCACTGAGCTGAGCAAACTGGAGCAGAGACTTGATGTTACTACGTTTGGTGGAGAAATACTTCAACATTTCCTCAGTGAAGTGAGGGAGTTGCAGGAGAGGTGACTTGTTGTCCCACGTCGCTTGGATCGCCATTACGTTTATTTTTATCAAGTTTTCAAATGTTTTAACGTTCGGTGCTGCGACGTGTTTTTGTCGCTTAGAGAAGTAGATCAGTTGGAAACAGATGTTGAGTGCCTCGCTGATCAGGGCAGGTATTTTCTTAGTTATGATGTTGATGTCAAGATTATTTTCTTCATTTAGTTTCTCTGAACGGTTGCAAAACGAATGAAACAGTGTCCTAGCCTTAATACTGTAAAGGTATTTGAAGGGCGGATTGGGATTTTTCTCGTGAAGCTGCTTGCACTCCTTCATCAGGAGTGGTATCTGGATATTATCTGATTCCCGTTCTTTCACCTCTTTATTCTGTGATTTCTCGAACTCAAACGCAGAGCACAGGATCATGATGCACTTGCTAACATTATGAAGACTGTTCTTGGCAAGGAATGAGAGGTAAAGCTGGGTGGTATGAAGTAGAATATCATCCGCTGAATATTTTATAGATCTGTACCACCAGGACCCCACCACAGTTGGGAGCAGGATCATGAACATTAGCACATACAGTCCCAACACGAACACGGAATTGTTCTTGTCGACTATCCAGGAGGGTAGGGCAATACCAAACTGCATAGCTTGAGGGCCATCAGGATTCCATGATCGATCCAGTTCTGACGCGTTACATCGTCAGTTAAAGCCTGGTAGGCCTTGTTTATCTGTACAAACATTTGCTCGTCACCTCCCTTGTCAGGATGGTGAACCAGCGACAGCTTTTTGTAAGCTTTCTTAATCTCCTTAGTCGTGGAACTAGGATCAATGCCAAGAATTGTAAAGGGGTTATACTCGACATGCGTATTCTCTGTGGTGGACGCTTTGAAAGCAAAGTACGCCACTGCGCTCCACCCTAGGATAATAACCAAACTTTTTATAATCTTACTGCCAGTGTTCTTACGTTTCTCTTTGAGCATGGAAGATTTGCCAACACAAGACTTACAGGTACAGGGCACAGTTCGTCTTTTGGATCTGGGGTCAGGGTAAAATGGCCATATTACGTAGGTCAGAGGGATAAAGACGATGAGGAGGAATGCCAACATAAAGTAGTAGAAGGTAGACCCCGTCTCGTCATACTCAAATTGCATTCCCATCCTGCCTTAGAGAAGTAACTGATTAACAACAAGATAATAATGGTAATTAATAATTTTTACTAAATACAGCATTCCCATTAAATACAGCAACTCACACAAAATAAACAAAATTTCAATGGCACATCCATGACAGTGAATCTATCTGACTATTATAATTCTCTTTTAGGATAAGCAATGAAAATGTGCATCTAAAATTTCCGTGCGATACGTCTAGTTAGAGCTACTCAACATAATTTCTACAAATTTCAACAAAATTACCGCGTGAACATGACGTTTCCGAGTAAAACAATTTATGCGTCTTCGCGTAAATTTGTCGTCGCGCCTTACAAATACGAATATAAAAACGTGCTTCTCAATACTTAGATATTTAGAGTATCAAGATAGTGTTATCAGCTTTCTTAGGGAGACGGGAGTGTGACACAATTTCGTTGTTTTAAAACACAATATGGAATATTCCTAGCTCACATGCTCAGATGAATCTATGAAGTTGTTAAAGTTGTTAAAGCATTAGATAAAAGTCCAGACAATAAATAAATACAGTACAGATGGCATGTATATAAAAACCCGTTAAAATCACAGAACTTGGTAAAGATGAACTGATTTGAGGGACTCCAAATCACACTCATCAGGAACCAGTTCCTCATCCAACTCCCACTCAATCTCACTAACCCAGTTGTCGGGTAGTTGACCTTTCAACTCATCCAAACTTTCCTGTAAAGACGGAACCGTAACAATAACCTGACCCTTTCTTCTCAGACTACCAAATATAACGTCCCAACACTTTGCTTGATCCTCTGGACTTTGGAAATGTTCGAATACGTTGTTCAGTATTACCACGTCGCAAGATTTCAGCAGCTGATCTTGTGTTCTGATATCAGCTTGTATCACTTCTATCTTGTCGTAGTTGTACTGTTCGATGATGGAGTTCTGCAGTGCACAGAAATCAGGGTTTAGTTCTACACCGATTATTTTAGAAGCGTTTGTGTACTCGGCAGCAGCGTAAAGAACGCATCCCAACCTAGAACCAACATCCATGATGACTTTGTTAGCGAGTGGAGGGAGGATTTTAGTGAAGAGCCATTTCAACTCCCACACTGAAAAGGAATGTGATACCAAGTCTAGTTTCTGAGTTTTCTTAGAACCACAGTTTGAACAGTAATGTCTACTCATCTTTCCCTCGTCACAGAAATCATCTAAAACATCGTCTGGAAAGAGAAAAGCGTCAATGTGTTCAGTCTGAGGATCGTCCAGGTTGACGATTGATTCAGATTGTAAAACTCCAGAACACGGTACGACTGAACGCAGCTGCTCTGAAATGGACTCCAGGATTTGAACATGGGAATCGCTGATAAAATCTTCTATTTCTTCAGAGTTCTTGAGAAAGTTTATCAGATCCTCTCTTGACTCAGCTTTTGTGTTCAATAATAGCTCTGAAAACTTCTGCTTTGCTTCGTTCAGATTCATATTCCCTAGGAGGAAACAGTTCAATGTTAAATATTTTAAATTTGGAACAAAGGAACATTTATCCAACAAACAGTATTATATTCTTAAAGTACCAAAATCCTATCACTGATATTATATATATTGGTAATACATCTACACGCATTGTTGGCCTTTTAGCTGCTGCCTATAGCTCCCAAATGCTCAGATCACATGTCAGAATATAAGATTTAAATCGTTGTATTTTAAGTAAGGCATGATTGTCGTGTGATCTCAACTGCCTATAATTTATGAACCACCTGGAGTTTTAGGCGCCTCAACGGTTTTTAATAACCCTGACGGAAAGTTGCCCTGACGTAGAAAATCATTTGAATCGTTCAAGTAAGATTTTAATTCGACAAAGTTATTCCACTTTTTGATTTATAATATCTAATTCAATTTAAAATTTCAAAGACATGATCTAATTCTCTAAATTCAGTAGGTGTCCCACTAAAACAATTAAACTCGTAAGATTATGAGAAGATTTAATAAGAAAACAAAGAAATTTTAAATGAGATGATCACATAACTTAATCAAAGCTGTCCAACTCAAAGTTTGACAATGGTGAGCAGAGTTTACGACGAACTAATCAGTTTACAATTCAACCATCTGTTCTACAAATTAATGGTATATATATTATCTAGTCACCGCTGACTGCACCAATATTTCTAAATTAACTTGCCCAGTTTAACTTTTATCTATCTCTCGTGATGTTTAAGCATCTTTTTGTGACTGCTGCCTTTGTGGCCACTGCTTATGGGTAAGTGTTCAACATTCAGCTTTATGTTAGCCTTATCTATCAACATACGTTCTAGCCGATGTAATTTATATTCGTGTCGATGAATCCGTTATTCTGTTGAACTAACGCTGTTTACCGTTCAGTTACACTTTACATGAATTTCAGTGTTGAAGTAGCTCTCCGAGCTGAGGATGGTGAACTTGAATTCATCGACTTCAACGACCCAGTCATTCAGGTACAGTTATTAGATTCAAGAGGGCTCTTATAGTTCAGGTTATAGAGAATATTTAAGTCATCACAATTCAATTTTGGATGCCAAAGATTGATGTCAAAATGAAATGGTCAATACTGAATACTAATTACTTACCGTAAAACTTTTTAAACCATGAATTAAGTTGTAAAGATCTTCAAAATAAACTTAACATCCGAATCTAAAAGAAGAAATCACTAAAACTGATTTGTCCTCAGGAGCTGATTAGGAAGCTGATTGCATTGAAGAAGGAGCTACTCTGTGGAGGAACTGTGGACAAGGTTATTGAAGTTCTCAACCTTCCTGAACAGCTCAAGGGTGTTGTTAACCTACTCAAAGGAATCATCTGCATCTAAACTGCATTTCGTATTCGATACACTATTTGAGATACATTTGAATTACTTTGTTTAATATTAACACATCGATTAAAAAGTAACATGCTTATTAAAGGGTAAATTCAAAGTCACAAAAATCACGTTCCATAGAAACGGTGTATAAACGTTACAATCTATAATTTAATCATAATGGATAATATTTCGCAACCTTTATTAAAGGTACACATTATTATTAGCATTTAACAGGAGCATACACACAAAAACTATTCAAACTGAGTATCTTAATGAAGTTGAGTGACAATTTATTTGTTATTTGCAACGAGTAAAAATTTAGATCACAGTCTATGAGTCTTAGCCTCTTACTCTCTCAACGGATTCCCGATTCTGTAGTCTGTACCAAATTTTTGGGTCATCCAGGAAACTGTAACAATTTATATCACAATTATTTATTGATAAAACAAACCAGTTTTATCTCCTCGTTACGACTGAATGGATAACCATCAACGTTCCATAATTCTTCTGGGAATTCAGGATCCTTTTCAAATATTATTCCATCTTCATTCCAGGTGAAAAATCCTAGCATATGTTCCATATCAGTGGAATAAATACGGCTCATAACAGTAAGGTGTATTTTTTCTGATTTGACACACTCAGGATGAATGTGAAGTCCTTCAGGATATTCTGATTGAACTAAACAGATATTAGCAGTAAACTTGCATGGTCTGCCTGACTTGAAAATTGGTGTAACTTTTAGCAAGAACCCACATTTTCCGGCCCTGGGACAATCCCTAGTGTTAGGATGCTTGAAATGGAATGCAAATTGTTGCTCGGTGGAAAAAAGCTGTTCTATAGTGCACGTGGTTTTGATTTTATTGTTTACTGATCTGTTGCCTAGTCCAACAATCTTGCCAACCCTTCGAAAACTCTCATCGCTCGACAGGAAATCATGGCCATAATTTTTGATCATATCACGATATTTGGGGTAGTCCTCATCAATATCAGGCCAAGATTCAATAAAGAGTGGAGAGATTTTCCCCCAGCCTCTTTTAATTCTAATTTTCTCCAATTTATTGATTAATAGGGCATTATGAGCTTGATCATCATTGTAATAAAAGTTCAGAATGAGTCCCTCAATAAGCATGTACAGATTAGCGATTAGGGGAAAATCAGCTGCTGCATCTAAGAAATCCAGATCGCTATCATAATGACCCGGATCGAAAGGGGCAAAGGATGAAAACACATTGGGAATCACAGTTAAAATCGAATCTGTATTACAGCAAGAATGAGACGCTCTTGAGGACATGCGGTCTTTGGCATATTTAACAGATTTTCTGTACAGCTTATTAATCATAACCGAATCCTTTAGAGTTAGCTGCACGAGATTCTCTAAAGTATCAAACACCTCCTCAAAAAGTGCTTCGTTATCGGTGATACATAAAGAGAGGTTTATATTCTGCAGCAGGAATCGGGAGGTTTCATCAAGCACCATTCCTTGCTTCTCTATATTTTGTTTTACAATGTGCAGCAGAGAAGATGGACTGTTTTGAGTAATCTGAATGATACAATTCAGTTGAATAGCATCTAGTCCAACATAGTTCAGCTTCATGTAGGGTTCAACAAATATCTCAGCTCTGTTCTCCAGACCACAAATCTTCTGTACCACCACGTCCACAAACTTGTCACATTTCATCACTCTCATACAAAACCTGGCCTCCTCAAACAAGAACAACAAAGTCTGGTAGTCAGTGTGAACACTAACATCACCCACCAGACCAGTGAAGTAGTCCCAACATCTCCCTGACAACCACTCCACTTTGAAGACGTGACAGAGCTTGTTGACATCTCTGAACAAGTGCCTCACTAGTTGGATCTCCCCGCTGTACAGGGCCCCCAGGAAACTCTTCACCGCCTCCCCCACAAAGTCCTCCATCTCCAGAACAGACTGTTGTAGTTCCAGGAACAGGTGAACAAACACTGAACTGTGGTAAGACAGGATTAGAGAGTTTGCTTTTATGTCCTCTCCTCCTCGTAACTTTAGGACCACGTTACCGTGAAACTGAGAGTGTAGGTTCTCTATACCAAAATCTGCCGGTACCACCACTTTAGGAGCCATGATATTCTAGTGGATTGATATTGTTAGTAAACAACACATTTTTGAGCTATTTTATAAAGAAAACGTTTAAGCACAAACTTGAAGAGCTATTGTGCTGTTTAATATCTAATGACAGTTATAATAACATCAATCATTGATGAAAACAAAGAAGATTTGACAAAAAAAAACACTATTGAAAATTATTCAATTTTATTTAAACGTATTAGATTCCCTGATATAAATGATTCACAGGGTACGGTGTTTCAAAAGTAGATTGGTATAAAGTGGTAAAGTTATTCAACATAAATCGTAATTTCACCTACGAATCTGAGGATCTATAGCCACTCCAAACCAGTGGAATATCTAAAACTCGTAAAAATTGCTCAAAAGAATCACAAAGTTATGAACGCAGACAGCTTAAGAAAGTCACCAGGGGATAAGTATACACCACCTACTTTCCATGCTAACATTGATCCCTCATCATATTTTATCACAATACCGAACTCATTCCAGGTAAAACTGGCTAAGAAGTATCTCATTCCATGGTCATACTCAAACAAAGGCACCAAATGAATTTTGTCCGCTTTCACAAAGTCAGGATGAATATGAAGTCCCTCAGGATATTCTTCTTGATCTAACAACAATACGGTTTTCGGCCGGGTCGGTCGTGTGAGCATGCGCTCCTTGATGCAACCAACACGATTAGACACGACCTCTCCAAAAAAGAGGTCTCTCTACTCCTCCTACTTGATTTTAGCAAAGCGTTTGATGTAATTTCCCACGATATTCTCTTAGACAAACTGTATCATTATGGCATAAGAGGACTAGCACACCAATGGTTCAAGTCTTATCTAAGTTCCAGGAGTCAGTATGTTTCAATAGGGGGCACAAATTCTTCCTCACAGTCCATGAGACACGGAGTGCCGCAAGGCAGTATTCTAGGACCTTTACTTTTCATAATATATATCAATGACATGCCAAAAATCAAATCGTACGCAAAATTTGTTTTATATGCTGACGACGCAAACATAATTATCTCAGGTAAAAATCATCAAGAAATACTACAAAAGATGACAGAATTTTCACCTTTATTGATAAACTGGGTAGATCAAAATGGTCTTTCGTTAAACCTTAAGAAAACGTGCTACATGCTCCTCTCACCCAACAGAACCTCAACACCTGACGTAAATATTCAAATTGCAGGCACCACTATTGAGCGAAAAACTGAGGCCCGATTTCTTGGCGTAATTGTTGACGAAAAATTGACCTGGACCAGTCACATTACTGCTCTTAAAGCGAAAATGATGCGGTATATTGGTATTATGTACAAAATAAAAAGTCGGCTGCCGATTAAAGTTAGACTCCAGATATACCAAAGCTTTGTACAGTCTCATATAAACTATTGTTCATTGATATGGGGTTTTGCTGCAAAAAGCCATATAGATGCTTTATTCAGCAAACAGAAGCAAGGAATAAGGGCTATTATGCCTGGCTTCGTAAACTACTACTTTAAGGAAGGTGCCTTACCACAACACACAAAGCCATTTTTCAGTGAACATGAAATTCTCA